GGTCCAGTGATGGTTTTTTCAACAGCGGTTTTATAACAGCCTGTTTTAGGCTCGCTGGAATTATGCCCTCCCTACATGACCTTGGAGGTGTCTACGGACAACGCCAATTCTTTGGCTTAAAAATGGAGATGAGCACCAACCCCGAGTCGGATATGACTGGACTTAATGTCAGGGGAAAACCTTTACCTTTATTGCAGTGGTTAACAGTGTGTTTCCGGACCCACTTCAGACTGGTGGATCTAGCCTTTGAAATCCTATTCTTTGACTGGCCTTTAAGATCAGTTAATCTGGCAAAGACAAAGGACATAGTTTTGTCGTCCACTATATGGATCTCTGCCACTACAAAAGGATTTATAATTATCCATCTTGGTTATATTTTTTATAAAAATGCTTAGATAAAATTTCTGTTCAAATATCTTTTTATTGATGTACTTCATTAATCATGCTGACATTTACTAATATTTATTATGGTGGCTTTGATAAAGTCTTTTAGCCTACCAGTTGTTAAATAATGCCTTTAAAATAATTAAATTTTGCTATGACTTAAAAAAAAACATAGTTTGCCATTCTTGGTGGATATGGAGCAGATAAAATACAAGCACATAGAAATTATATCAATATCACACATTCACACACAGAGCTAATCGGTTTGTTAGAACTAACTTCAATTGATATATTAGCAAAAACAAATATTGCGACGTCTTTGAGTAGTTTGAGCAGAGATTTGGAGATAATGTGTTGTACTCTGTCACTTTCTCTCCTGGAATGATCTTGTGGTATTTTACTAGAAATATTCATAGAATTGCCATAAATTGACTGGCAGCCTGAAGGCACCAACTTCCACACACACACGCACACATTGTACGAAGCTTGAATAAATCCAGCAAGTGATAAGTCCAAGGGGAAGTAGATAATGTGGCTGTATCCCAGGGCCTAACTCTTGCTGATGAGCTGTTGCTGTTGTGATGTGAACAAGATGCTAAGTAAGGGCGCTCCCAGATAGGCCCGCTATCCCAGTATCGGATCCCAGGTTTTCTGTTTATCCCAGATTATCTGTCAGTGTGGACTCATATATCCAGTTTAAAGCAGAAAACCTGGGATCAGATTCTGGGATATAGGGCCTGTCTGGAAGGTCCCTTAGAGCAGGGGTCCTCAAACTAAGGCCCGGGGGCCAAATACGGCCCTCCAAGGTCATTTACCCGGCCCTCGCTCAGGGTCAACCTAAGACTGAAACGACTTGAAAGCACACAACAACAATCCTATCTTATCAGCAAAAAGCAGGCCCACACTTCCCGTTGAAATACTAAGTTTATATTTGTTAAAATTGTTCTTCATTTTAATTGTTGTATTGTTTTTAAGTGTTTTTTGCACTACAAATAAGATATGGGCAATGTGCATAGGAATTCATTCACTTTTTTTCAAATTATAATCTGGCCCTCCAATAGTTTGAGGGACTGTGACCTGGTCCTCTGTTTAAAAAGTTTGAGGACCCCTGCCTTAGAGGCTTTTATCAGTGGTAGCGGTTGTCTCCTATCTTAGCAAATCAGTGAATCCACACTGGGTCTTGGTCTGAATTCTTAAAGAGAGTTCTGAAAGCACTGAGAATGGGATTCAGCACTTTGGATAGCTCATTTTGTGCAAATACTAAACCTGAATAAATCCAGCAAGTGATAAGTCCAAGGGATAGTAGATACTATTGTATTCCACGGCTCCACTTATTAAGTCCATTGGAGATTCATCTCTGTGGCTTGGGTGCCTGCCTCAGTGGACCCATTACTGTATATAGTGTCACTCTGTGGTCACAAAAATGTAATTTATATATGAGGTGGTCCCACCTTGAGTGGTCCAAATTCAGGAGGAAATGGAAATCATTCATGACCCATGGCTGTATGGTCATGTACCAGAAGCATTCTCTTCTGACATTTTGCCCACATCTACGACAGACATACTCAGAAGTGGTGAGGTCTGTTGGAAACTAAGCAAGTGAGGTTTATATATCTGTGGAATGTCCAGGGTGGGAGAAAGAACTCCTGTCTGCTTGAGGCAAGTGTGAATGTTGCAATTGGCTACCATGATTAGCATTGAGTAGCCTTGCAGCTTCAAAACCTGGCTTCTTCCATCTTGCTTGGAGAGACAATGTGTGTTAAATCTACCATGGATTCTGTTCCTTCAGAAGTCTTATGAATCTTATTTCCTTCATGGGTTTTAGATACAGAGCTAATCATTGTATGCTTATTTCAGTGAGCTTTGGGATAAAACCCACAAATCCAATCCTTGCTTATAATAGCTTTTAGATCTTTTGGTATTTCCATCCTTAGTCATTGGATATGCTTAATAGTGGTTTTTAATAGATTTTATTAGCATCTGCATTGACAGGTCTGTTTGGAGTTGTATAATGTGTATAACACATGTCTTATATAGTTCCACCTTATTTTTATTATGCTGCAAGCGATAACTAAATTGCTGTATAAAGTTGGTTTCTGGAAAAGAAAACCATAAAAAGTAAATATTCCATTAAAAAGTATCAAAAGTGGCTGTTAAGAATAGTGGTAAAACAGCTGTGTGGCTTAAAAAAACAGCAACCTGAAACTGCAGCCTTACACTTTTGGCCCTGTCTACTCTGCCATATAATCCAGTTTCTGATTCCAGATTATCTGCTTTCAACGGGATTATATGGCAGTGTAGACTCATATAATCCTGTTCAAAGTATATAATCTGGATTCAGAAACTTATATGGCAATGTAGAACCATCTAAAGAACTTGCTAATGTCATTTTTTGCAAGTCTTCTTCAGTTTTGAATGCAATTAAATTAAAGTACATCTTACATTTATGACATACTACCTTATTCTGTTAGGCTGGCTATACAACTTCATGTCTTTAAAGTCCGTATTATTTCAAAGCAATATTTTGTGCCAATATTCAATTTCTAATGCTCATCATTCTTTCCAGTTCTCACACTGGTGTGATCAAAATGGTGTTGGAGAGGGAAAAATCTTGGCTTTGTGCCTTCTTAATTGCATGAACAAAACGATTAACAAAAACCCTATCTGTCAATCACTTACTTAAATATTTTGTGCAGCTGCGGAACTTGCTGACCAAGAGATCAGCTGTTCAAATTCGCAGAGCGGGGTGAGCTCCTGTCATTAGCCCCAGTTTCTGCCAACCTAGTAGTTCGAAAACATGCAAATGTGAGTAGATCAATAGGTACCGCTCAGACGGGAAGGTAACGTCTCTCCATGCAGTCATGCCAACCATGTGACCTAGGAGACATCTATGGACAACACCGGCTCTTAGGCTTAGAAATTGAGATGAGCACTACCCCCAGAGTCGAACTCAACTAGACTTAATGTCAAGGAGAAACCTTTACCTTTTATCTGGTATTCTGAGATCTACCTTCTCTGACACATTATATAGCCATGTTCACAACAGTGGCCTTATCCTCTATGTCTCTGTCCAATCCTCTTTTTAAAAAGCCATCCAAGTTGCTGACCATTGCTTCATCCCCTGGTGGCAAATTCCATGATGAGATGTGTGAAGGAGTCCTTGTATCTCTTCTGAATGTCACATTTTTTTACTTTTCTGAGTGATCCACTAGTTCTAGGGAGAAAGGAAGATGTCTTCCTCCCTTTCTACTTTCTCTACACCTTGCATGACTTTGTATACTCCTGTAATATTAGCCCTTTATTAGATAGCTATCTGGTGGCATGTCATGGACATTTTTCTTCATAGCATTAAAAGACGGGTGTTCAACGAAGTCTCCAGGTAGCACCACCATGGCCAATGACTTGGGGAATGTACAGCTTCAGAAGAGCATGAGTTCGGCCTATGGGTCTACTGTTCTTTAACAGTAGCACTGTTCTTGAACAATATTTCATGCTGTTGATGTATGTCTTTTTCTTTTCTTCCTAGGGTCCAATGGGTCCTCGTGGGCCAGCTGGACCTCCTGGAAAACCTGGCGATGATGTGAGTATGCTCTCTTATTTTTCTGTTGGCAATGCAGCTTCATGACAGTTAGCTCAAGCAGCTCGGGATAGAGAAGTTTGCTGCAACTGGTTTTGAGAGTTGAAACACTATGTGCTTTATTTCTCATGCTACATATGTGAGCCAAATCCATTCTTACTAGGGTGGATGTAGATCCTGACATAGACAAAGTCTCACCATCTACTCATGAGAGGAAGGTATATGACATCTTGTAAGGGGTGAGGTCCATCAGGCTATCAGAAAGAAAAGAAAAGATAAAATACCAAGTAATATATTTGAAATATCAATTTCAATTCATTGGAACCCCCAGTGGTGCAGTGAGTTAAACCCTTGTGCCGGCAGGACTGAAGACCGACAGGTTGCAGGTTTGAATCTGGGGAAAGCGCAGATGAGCTCCCTCTATCAGCTCCAGCTCCTCATGCAGGGGCATGAGAGATGCCTCCCACAAGGATGGCAGAAACATCAAAACATCCGGGCATCCCTTGGGCAATGTCCTTGCAGACGGCCAATTCTCTCACACCAGAAGCGACTTGAAGTTTCTCAAGTTGCTCCTGACACAACAAAAAAATCATTGCCTGTTAGTAAGCTACAGGGGACATGGTGGTGCAGCGGGTTAAACCGCTAAGCTGCAGAACCTGCTGACCAGACAGAATCTGCAGGATGGGGTGAGCTCCTGTTGTTAGCCCCAGCTTCTGCCAAATAGTAGTTCGAAAACATGCAAATGTGAGTAGATCAATAGGTACCACTTTGGTGGGAAGGTAAAGGCGCTCCATGCAGTAATGCTGGCCACATGGACTTGGAGGTGTCTATGGACAATGCCAGCTCTTCAGCTTAGAAATGGAAATGAGCACCATCATCCAGAGTTGGACATGACTAGACTTAATGTCAGGGGAAACCTTTTCCTTTAAGCTACAAGTCCCTTACAGGTTAATTGGAGCAAGCCAATTATAGAAATAAAATAATTACAAAAGTTGATGGGTGGGAGAAATATAGTAGAAGTAGGGGGGGGACACAAAACAAGAAGTGAAATTAGTATCAGTTTGCCTTCACTTTTTCTTGTGTGACAACTGCATGGTAGTCAAATAACTCAACGGCAAGTAAAAGGTCCCCCTTTTTCATGGAGTGTGCAATTGGCCTCTAGGGCATTCATTATTGTTGTGAGAAAAAGAGCGGTGTACAATAGCATGGCAAAAGTAACTAACCCAGTTTATGTAGAGAATGGCTATGAGTCAATAGGGAATCATAGAATCATAGAATAATAAGAATTTGAAGAGATAAAGAGGGATAATAATAATAATCATCATCATCATCATCTATAATTGCATCCATCCCTTTTCAGGGTGAATCAGGCAAACCTGGCAAATCTGGAGAACGTGGACTACCTGGGCCTCAGGTAAGAATGCATTTAGCATATTCTTTAGCCCATAACATTTAAACTAGGTTTAGACCTCATCTACACTGCCATATGCAGTTTGAAACATTGTCTGATTCTACACTGCAGTTTCAATGCAGTTTGAAACTGCATTATTTAGCAATGTAGATGGGGCCAGAATCTCCTGAGAGTGATGCGAAAAGGTACCTTTGAGGGTGAAGTCTTTTATGGTTTGTGTTGTCCTGGTGACAGCTTCAGAAGAACTATGGGTTTAATCATCTAATCTAACCTTGTGTTTAATAAAAGTGAAAAGGCAGGTGGATCTTTGGCTTGAACTACTGAAGAGCTGTGAGAGCTCCCAATGAATGTGAAGCCACCTGAATAGTTTGTTTATTATGTCTGTAAAAAGATCAAGGAGAGTGATATGATTGGCTATTGCTGTTTGTTGTGGGGAAACAAAATCAGAACGATGCACTAGACAAAAAAAGGAAATTTATAGACCTATGTGGGCAATCTTCTTTGTACCATAGAGGCTCAAATTTGTAAAAATGAAGATTATATTGATGCTGCATGAGTATCAATCTGTATGTTTTAAACATTATTCGGCACCTTGTAGCCACAGGGGGCAGAATAATGTTTAAAACATATGGATGAATACTGATGCAACATCAATATAATTATTCTGCACCTCTAGCCACAGGGGGGGGAGCCCCTGGTAGCGCAGTGGGTTAAACCACTGTACCAGCAGGACTGTTGACCAAAAGGTCCGCGGTCTGAATCCGGGGAACAGGGTGAGCTCCCATCTCTCAGCCCAAGCATCTTATGGGGGGATATGAGAGAAGCCTCCCACCGGATGGTAAAACATACAGGTGTCCCCTGGGCAACGTCCTTGCTTCTCACACCAGAAGCGACTTGTAGTTTCTCAAGTTGCTCCTGCCATGAAAAAAACAAAACAAAACTACAGGAGGAAGCAGTGAAACTCTGATCACTAGAAATACTTCAAAACTTCAAGAGTTATTGCCTTCACACTGTAAATGATATATTTGTAGTCATATGCAACTTACTGTGGAAGAAAACAAAGGTGGAAAATAGAGCCTGAGACTTGCTTCTCTAGACAGTTTGGAATACTGTGGCTTTTGTCACTTATATATAAAATTTGAGAGTGTCTATAGACACTTTTAAAGGGCAACAGGAGGCCTGAGGAAGAAAAGGAAGATCAGCTTAAGACATGATCGAAATTTGGTAATCACCCCCAATGTTTATGCTGTCACTGCTTTACATCACAATTCTGTTTCACTTGACACTGAAAAGAGGAGTGAGAAAAGCATGTAATCACTACAGTGTGTATTTAGTGGTATCATCAGAGATAGTCAAGGGCTAAAAATGATGTTGAAGTTATTTTCCTTCTCATTCTATATTAAGTCATTTTTATGTAAATAATACTTGTGGAATGAAAAGGCCTAATCGAAAGAGACTTGGTGCTTCTAAAATTATTCTAAATTTTAGCTTTTCTTATGGTCACCAGCATATTTTTCACTTAACCCAATTTCTTGTTTACTTCCAGGGCGCTCGAGGTTTTCCTGGGACCCCAGGTCTTCCTGGTGTAAAAGGACACAGAGTAAGTTTGCAAATATTATATGTTTATTTTGTTATAGTTGGTTGGTTTGAAATTTCTCTGAGCACAAGTGAGCCAAAAGATCTGCCATGACCCTTATGAGTTTTCTCTCATTTTCTAGGGATTCCCTGGATTAGATGGTTCCAAAGGAGAAGCCGGCGCTCCAGGTGCTAAGGTAGGAAACACACCTCTGACATAACATAAATTTAGAAAGGCATTGCATTTTTTCTTTAAATAGAATTCACTTGCAAAGTTAAATTAACAATTGATATGTTTGTGTAATACACACAAACACACATATTCATATATCCCTTTATAGAGAAGTTAGGGAGAAAGTGATGCTTTACATCTCCTTGAAAACTCCTAGCCAACATTGCTATGGATGTAACCATATTAGTTGGCAGATCTCAGCAGCTATCATCCAAAAAATTACTTTCCCACCATTGGTGTAATATGCCAGGGATGGTATAATTTGCAAAGAGAACTACAATTTCCACAATACATTACCTGTTTTGGAAGAAATCCCAAAAATTGCATGAACAAAAAAATTGATTTTGACATGACAACTAAAGGAATAAAATTCTTCACTGTTGAACTGGACCTCAAGATAAATTCGTTCTTCAAGGGAAGTGGAAGACACATTACACACCAAAGATGGAAAAACATACAAAGTATAAACCCATTATTCCCCCCAGATGAAAATTGCTCTTGAATATGTGTTCCTGCCACTCAACTACATAATAATAAGTAGGCTTTTGTTTTGCCCTGTAGTAACTGCACAACAGCCTTTGAAAGCAGAGAATTCCCATATTCAAGGTTTTCTGCCATTACTGCTTACTATTGTTATCTCATTTGCAAACAGTTTTGTGACATCATGCATGAGCATTATGTCACCTCTAATGACCTCAGCCAGCTTGAGACATCCTCAATGTGCTAAGCAGTCTGAGAGGAGAAGTAAGGAAAATGTATGAGTGTGTGATAAATGGGTTGTTGATGTGCTTCTACACAATGAAGTGTTTTTGTGTACATTCGACTCACAGCTGAATCAGGTTGCTGGGAGACTGGACTCTTTGTGCTGCTCATAAATCTATTGGAGCATGGAAAGTGTACTTTCTAAATTGGAAAGTGATTGCACAACTCACAAGAAATTGGATAAATTAATATTCTGCTAATTTTGTCTGAGAACTGAAGCTGCTTGGGTTAACTACTTAAACTGACAGCTCTCTGTTTCTTTTCTATTCCACAAGTGCAAGCCTTCTATTTATTGAGAACCAATTCTGCTTATTAGTGGACTGCCCTCTAGTGTCCACTCTATGGAAAATAGCCCATAAGTGGACACTCTTTTGGGAATGGCATCGCTGCAGCTCAACAAGGCAGCAAGATAGAAGTTTAATTTCCTCTGCGTTGTTTTAGGTTTTTTGGGCTATATGGCCATGTTCTAGAAGCATTCTCTCCTGATGTTTCACCTGCATCTATGGCAAGCATCCTCAGAGTTTGTGAGGATCTCACAACTTCTAAGGATGCTTGTCATAGATGCAGGCGAAATGTCAGGAGAGAATGCTTCTAGGACATAGCCATATAACGTGAAAAACCTACAACAACCTAGTGATTCCAGCCATGAAAGCCTTCGACAATACATTAATTTCTTCTGTTTCTCTTATTCTAGGGTGAATCTGGGTCTCCTGGTGAGAATGGTTCTCCTGGCCCCATGGTGAGTGTTGTGCTCCTCAACTTTTGTTTTCAAAAGCAGTAATCACACCACACTACCACTGGGCTTTGTCATTGGGATGCTTTACTAACTTGTGAATATGTTATATCTCAGGGTCCCCGTGGTCTCCCAGGTGAGAGAGGACGTCCTGGCTCTTCTGGTGCTGCTGTAAGTATCAACACTTTTTGCAAATTGCTAGCTCTGTCATGCAGAAATGTGGTTTTAATCCCGGTTGCTAGTACAGAATAAGCATTATGCACTTGTGCTTTCTGTGGAAGATTCCCTCGTCTGTTCTCTTCACCTTGGCTCAAGTCCTCTGGGATATGATCTCTGGGATTTCCCAGTGGTTAAAGTTTCATTAACTCATGGAAAACACAGACAAACCACATTTTACATGTCATTAGAACAAGGTTATGGTGGGTGCAAAGTGAATCCACTTCCCTTTTTCTAATAATAATAATAATAATAATAATAATAATAATAATAATAATAATAATAATTTTATTCTTGAGACTCATGGCAGCTTAGGAATTTAGGTTTGCTGCCTCTCTTACAACATCAACGCAGCTAATATTCAGGCAGTAAACAGAAAGGGCAGAAGAAACAGCAGCAAAGTGCAATGAGCAGCCACATTATGTTAACACAATGCTGCTCAAAGTAATAGTCTTTAGACTGGACTTGATGTCTGGACCATTGGCAGCTGGATCTTGGAACATTTGGGGGTTGTAGCTAATAGGTTCAAATATGGCAGTATCCTTTTGTTGTGATATTTTCCGTTTATGGCAACCATAAGGTGGAGTTATCTTGTGGTTTTCCTGGCAAGATTAGTTCATATAAGGTTTGTCTTTGCCTTCCTCTGAGGCTGAGAAAGTGTGATTTGTTACTCAATGGGTTTCTATGGCTGAACAGGAATTTGAATGCTAGATTTTGTTGTAATGGACATCTGTCTGAAAGTGGTAGGTGCAACATACATTCTTGAGCAAATACCAAAAAGCTGAATGCATGTTTGCTTTGTGGAACTTCCTGGAGCTGACAACCAGCAGTAGCAGTAAATCCCAGCATAAGAAGGATTTGGTATTCAGTTATCCCTTGCAGTAGAAAGGCGCTTCTATCCACTCCACAGTCAATCAGTCATCAGAAATAGCCTGATACCTGTAAGGCAGTGATGCACAACCTGTACTTTCCACATGTTTGGCACTCTGGCTCCCAAAAGCCCTGGCAGGCTTGGTTAGGAATTCTAGGAGCTGAAGTCCAAAATACCTGGAGGGCCATCGGTTATGCAGCACTGCTGTAAGGAATATCAACGTGGCTTTTGCTTGTGCTGTGCTGATAGTCATTCTGATACAGTTCAAGTGAAGAACAGACAGTGTTGCAGGCACTCTCTGGAAATGCAGTGCACCATTTAGAACAGATCTAGTAAGACACAATGTGTGATGAATCATAAAGTTGTTGTTATCTTGCATAGCAAGGGTGGACAACCTGTGGCCCTTTAGATGTCGATGAACCATAGCTTCATCTCAACCTTGCTTAGCATGGTGAGGGATACCAGGAGTTGCAGTTCATCAATATCTGGAGGGCTAGCAATTACAGTCACTGTTGCTGTACACTGATATTTTTCAAAGAATGGGTCTAGATTTAGGAACACACTGGAGTTGCTCTCTTGTAATCCCTAAATTAGAAATAGTACTCTAAACCTTACACTAAAAGAAGGGCTGAAGCAGTTGGGATTTCTCTTGCCTGCATTTCCCAATGCTATTGGAAGTATGCAATGTAGCATGTATCAGAGAAGTAAGATATTAGGACTGTGGAAGGAACAAGCTGGGAGGAACTGGCACTGGCATTAGACTCTAATGGGAAAGAAGGAAGGAAAGTGGGAGTAAAGGAAGAGGGGAAGATGTAGAGAAAGGGAAGAAAAGAGAGACAGCAGAAGAGAAAGAAAAAGGGGGAAGGAAGGAAAGAGGTAGAGAAGGAAGGAAGGAAGAAGAAGAGGAAAGACAGGAAGGAAGGAAGGAAGGAAGGAAGGAAGGAAGGAAGGAAGGAAGGAAGGAAGGAAGGAAGGAGTGAAGGAGGGAAAGAAGGAGAGAAAGAGGGAAGGTTGACCACAGCAATGCGTGGCGGGTACAGCTAGTCTATATAAATAAAAATGTAATGTTGGTTTGTTGGATTAACATAACTCAAAAACCACTGGGCGAATTGGCACCAAATTTGGACACAATACATCTATCAGACCAACGAGTGACCATCACTCATAAAAACACTGAAAAACACAGCAGAAGAGACTTAAAAAGCAAAAAGATATATACATTACAATGCATGCGCAAAACCACATATATACAAATATACACAAATATATACACACATATACATACACACACACACACACACATATATATATATATACACACACACACAAAACACATATACACAGACTAGGCCACAGCAACATGTGGCAGGGGATGGCTAGTATATAATACTAATATTGTGCTATGGTAGTAATATAATATATTGTATTTACATATTACTTGTAAGCCACTCTGAGTCCCCTTCTGGTTGAGAAGGGCGGCATATAAATGTTGTAAATATATAGACATAATATATATATAAAATTAATAAATATATTCCAGTTCAAAACAGATAATGTGGGATTTTATTTAGCTGTGGGCCCTTCCACACAGTCCTGTATCCCAGAATATCAAGGCAAAAAATCCCATCATATCTGCTTTGAACTGGGTTGTCTGAGTCCACATTCAGATAATATGGGATTTTCTGCCTTGATATTCTGGGAGATAGGGCTGTGTGGAAGGGCCCAGTGTTGTCAATGCTGGATAGGGTTTCCCTGTACAGCCACATTCCCTTCCTCACTTTAATCCTACATATATATGTGCATGGAGTTATAATCCCTGTCTCAATGTTTGAGTCAATAAACTGTCGCTGAGCAGATGCCTGAATGTGGGTCTATGAAAAAGAAAACTGCCCAGCAGTACCCAATTCAGCCAGTCTGTAAGCCAAAGGCATCACACTCTGGGCCCATTTCCAGCATTCCTTCCTGCATCTCAAAAGATTAGAGCCCTCACTTGATACTGTAATAAATGTAGTGTGAAATTCCCCCTCACCTTCTGTTGAGCACATGGCAAAGCCTCTCTGGAGATGACTGTGAAGCTCAGCAGGAGAATTTTGGTCCAGAGCTTTGTTGTTTATGTTTCCACTAATTCAAAAGGTTGAGGGGATTGAGGACAAAGTAACCAAGACAATTAAACTTGGTCACCCCAAAGCATACTAGGTGAGAATCGTCTGGAAGGGATTGACCTTCCTTGCCGTTTCTATGTTTAAGCCAGCTTTAATTAGTGGAGAACAGCAAGAGAACAATATTCCCCAAGATCCGTGTTGTCAGTCTTTGGAATGTTTTCGTATCTCTTCCCTCCCCAAAAATGAAGTGTTTCTTTAAACCCATCAGTGCATTCTGAATTTATCGCACATAGAGGAAAAAAGATTTTCTTCTTATTCTTATGTTTAAAAACTATACCACCTCCAAGTTTAAGAATATGCTACTATTTGGAAGACAGGAGGACCACCTATCTATATAAATAAAAATGTAATGTTCGTTTGTGGGATTAACATAACTCAAAAACCACTGGGCGAATTGCCGCCAGTTTTGGCCACAAGATATCTACTAATGCAAGGAGTGACCATCACTTAAAAATATTGATTTTGTCATTTGGGAGTTGTAGTTGCTGGGATTTATATTTAACCTATAATCAAAGAGCATTCTGAACTCCACCAATGATGGAATTGAACCAAACGTGGCACACAGAACTCCCATGACCAACTTGGGCATTGATGGGCATTGACCTTGAGTTTGGGAGTTGTAGTTCACCTACAGCCAGAGAGCACTGTGGACTCAAACAATGATGGGTCTGGACCAAACTTGGCATGAGTATTCCATATGCCCAAATATGAACACAGATGGAGTTTGGGGGAAATAGACCTTGACATTTGGGAGTTGCAGTTACTGGGATTTATGGTTCACCTAAAATCAAAGAGCATTCTGAACCACACTAATGACAGAATTGGGGCAAACTTCCCGCACAGGACCTTGATGACCAACAGAAAATACTTAAGGTCATCCAGTCCAACTCCCTTCACCAGGGCAAGAAAACGTAATCAAAGCCCTCCTGAGAAAGAGCCATCCAGCCATAGATATAGATAGATATGATTCACACACACAGATATAGTATCATAGATTTGAAAGGGACTCTGAAAGAAGGACAACGATATGTTGCATATTCCAGACTAGGCAAACCAGACAATCTCCACATCAACACTGAGAAAAACCAAGAAATACTGTTTACCCACAAACATAAAGAAATTACATATATTAGAAACCAACACTTTCTAATTACTTCATTTTCCAGATCACCAGACTGGGCCACAGCAATGCGTGGCAGGGGATGGCTAGTAGTTTAATAAGAGCCGATATCTTGTAGTGGTCTAAATATTGGATTAAGACTCCGAGGTCCCTTCCACACAGCTGAATGAAATCCCACATTATCTGCTTTGAACTGGATTAAATGAAGTGTGGATTCAGATAACCCAGTTCAAAGCAGATATTGTGGATTATCTGCCTTGATATTCTGGGTTATATGGCTGAGTGGAAATGCCCTGAGCAACCAGGTTTCAAATCTTTGCTCCAGTGGGTGGTCTGGGCAAATGTCATACTTTTCAAGGTCTCTTAGAGGAATGCAATGGCAATATCTCCCTCAATAAATCTTGCCAAAAAACCCTATCATGAGGTCAATATGAAACCACAGAACAATTACGATTTGTAAACTCTGCTCATTCATTCCCCTGCACTGTTTGCCACATTTTGTGAATATCTTTTTCACATATTGCCAAGATGGATGTCTCAGCAATTCAAATTTGAATACCTGGAAGATTTTTTTTAACGTTTCTGGCTTCTCAAAGCAAGGAAACTTTTGGAGTTGACTTTAATTTGTGGTCCAGTGTTGATCTCCAGTTATATTTTGTGGAAAAGAGAAAGGCTGTGTGCTGTATTTTATATCAAAAAAAGGAATATTTCAAAACTTTCCAAACAAATAGCATAACAATGGAGCAAAATATATACATATAAGGAAAGCTTAATGCTGACATGATTTTTAATCAAATTCCTGTTTTGAATCGGGTGCATTTTGTACAAAGGCATTTTTCCTAAAGACAAACTCAGCACTCTCTAAAAGAAGAAACTCATTTCTCCTAGTAGGACTTTGTTCAAAACATAAGCAAAAGAGAGATGAACAGAAGAAGATTAAGGCCCCTTCCACACAGTTGTATAAAATCCACATTGAACAGGGATATATGGCAGTGTGGATTTAGATAACCCAGTTCAAAGCGGATATCGTAGATTATCCACCGTGATATTCTGGGTTATATGGCTGTGTGGAAGGGCCCTAAATTGAGAGAAGGGAAGCTCTCTTCTTTTTTTGCATATATCTCTGTTGTAGAAAATAAACATACAATTCTTCTCCTAGGGTCCATCTAGACCAGGGGTCCTCAAACTTTTTAAACAGAGGGCCAGGTCACAGTCCCTAAAACTATTGGAGGGTCGGACTATAATTTAAAAAAAAAAACAAGAATGAATTCCTATGCACACTGCACATCTCTTATTTGTAGTGCAAAAAAACAACAACAACACAACAATTTAAAACAATACAATAATTAAAATGAAGAACAATTTTAACAAATATAAACTTATTAGTATTTCAATGGGAAGTGTGGGCCTACTTTTGGCTGATGAGATAGGATTGTTGTTGTTGTGTGCTTTCAAGTCATTTCAGACTTAGGTTGACTCTGAGTGGGGGCCAGGTAAATGACCTTAGAGGGCCGTACCCGGTCCCCGGGCCATAGTTTGAGGACCCCTGATCGAGACAATAGAATAGAATTAACTGCCATGGCTCAGTGGTATGGAATCATGGAGGCTGCAGTTTTACAAGGTCTTGAATCTTCCTTGCCATAGAATGCTAGTGCTTCACCAAACTACAACTCCCAGGTTTCCATAGCATTGAGCTCTGGCAGTTAAAATTGTGTCAAACTGTATTAATTCTACAGTCTAGGGGCCCTTCCATACAGCCATATAACCCACAGTATCTGCTTAGACCTCAGGGCCCTTGTACAGCCCTGCATCCCAAAATATCAAGGCAGGAAATCCCACAATATCGGCTTTGAACTGGGTTATCTGAGTCCACACTCAAATAATGTGGGATTTTCTGCCTAGATATTCTGGAATATAGGACTGTGTGGAAAGACTCTCAGTTACCTGAGTCCACATTGCCATGCCTTAGTTACCTCTAAATTGGATTACTGCAATGACCTCTACATGGGGCTACCCTTGAAGACGGCCCCGAAACTACAACTTGTCCAACGCTTTTATTTGTGGGAGTTTCTGATAGTGCTGAGGCTAAGTCAGTTTGATGCATATCTTATTTATTTATTTATTTATTTAGAACATTTATACCCCGTCCTTCTTGACCTCCGCAGAGGGACTTGGGGCGGCTTATAACACGCAACAATTTGATGCTGACACAATATAAAACACATAATAAAATACAGTAAAATACACAAAATAGTTATAAATATACATTAAAACAGCCTGCCAGGTTAAAAATGTCATCCAAATCAGTCCAAATTGCGGTGAAATAAAATCTCATCTTCTCCAGTAAAATCAGTCTATTCTGCAAAGGCTTGCTCCCATAACCAAGATTTAAGTTTCTTCCGCAAAGTCAGGAGGGAGGGGGCAGAGCTAACCTCCTTAGGAAGGGAGTTCCACAGCTGAGGGGCCACCACGGAGGAGGCCCTGTCTCTCAACCCCACCAAACGCAACTGCGATGGCGGTGGGACTGAGAGCAGGGCTTCCCCAGATGATCTTAAAGTCTTTGATGTTTTGTAGAGGGAGGCACGTTCGGACAGGTAAACTGGGCCGGAACCATTTAGGGTGTGTATTTGACAGCAGTTCAAGTGTGTATAGACAGCAGTTTGTATTAAAACCTGGTCTAGTTCTCTGGCATGTGATTCATTTTATTGATTCTATGAGAATGATGCTATATTGTGTATTAATAATAATTACAAACCAAATATATTATATAACTGGACTTCATTGTAGAAACAAAAGGAGTACATCCTATTACATGCTGACATGTGCATGCTATGGACACAGCATACAGGGCAGCAATATCATCCTCCTCAATTCTGTTTTTTGAAAAATATGCAAGAATTTTTGAACTAATGAAGCACTGAATCAGCCCATTATTGTGAAGAGAAGCTTGATTTCTGAGCTTGCTACTCTGGGTGCCTTTTGGCTAGAGATAGAAGTCAAAGTCTGTCTGTAGGTGAACATGCACCTATTATGAAGCTATGACTCTTTGAAAAAGTCCCATTCAGGCCTTCTGTGACGGCGATGTGTTTCCCGTGGCACTGCTGCCTTACTTTTCCACTGTTCTTTCTGGCCAGTTGCCTGGGACGTGAGTGAGCTCTGCCAGGCAATTAGTCTATAGTTACACGAGGGCAAAGGTATCAAAACCATTAGCTGCCAAAGCTTTTTATCACAAAGTTCCTGAGACAAGGAGGCCCTGCTTGGGGTTCGACATTTGCATGAGATTCGAACCAACGATAAAGCAAAGCTTTTTCTAGAATTTATTTCCCAGAGATGCCTAGAGAGCTTAGATGGCTTATAAAAACTTACAATTTTTGACAGTCTTTTGGTAGCTAATAGCATCTGCTATCCATTACCTTTGCATTTGATTGCTGGACTTTGTTATTAATTCTTTATCTTTAATTTGCATTTTGTTCCTCAAGGTTATTCCCCCTCTGTTTTTTATTTTCTATTTTAAGATGCTGTACTTGTTTTTATTAATTCAGCTACAACCCACAGAGTCTCTGCTCACACAGAAAAGGCAGTTTTGCTTGTGCAAGTGGAGGCAATGCCAACTTTTCACAATTCTAGCTTGCTATTGCAACTTCCCACTCATACTCTATCAGTAGGGTATGAAATTCTTACTTGGTAGGTGACAGATGTCAACTAGTGTTTTAGAAAGCATACAAGAGCCAGCATAACATATTGGCTTGAACACTGGACTATATGACTCTGGAGACCAAGGTTTGATTCTCTGCTCAGCCATGGAAACCCTCCCAGCCTTCTTTCAACCCACTGTCAATGGGCAAGCACTTGTTGATCTGTTCTGATTCAGCAATTTGTTTTTCCCCAATTTAAAAAGTTGAACTAGTGTAAAATTAATTTCTAATCCTAGGAGAGTCCTGGGAAATATAGGCTTGTGAGAAGACTGAGGCCCCTTCCCATCTATATAAATGAAAATGTAATGTTCATTTGTGGGATTAACATAACTAAAAAAACACTGGACACATTGACACCAAATTTGGACACAAATACACCTATCAGGCCAACGAGTGACCATCACTCATAAAAACACGGAAAAATACAGCAAAAGAGACTTAAAAAGCCAAAAAAAAAATACAACGTATGCGCAAAACCATACATATATATGCAAACACACATATACACACATATATACACACAAAACATATATACACAGACTGGGCCACAGCAACGCGTGGCAGGGAACGGGTAGTAGCTGAATAAAATTCCACATTTTCTGCTTTTAACTGGAATATATGACACTATGGACTCAGATAACCCAGTTCAAAGCAGATATTGTGGGATTTTCTGCCTTGATATTCTGGGTTATATGGCTGTATGGAAGGGCCTTGAAACTTCTCAGCACCTTCATAAAATGGAAGTTCCCAAGAAGCTCTGAAAGGAACAATCATGCTTACATGGAAATGAATCTGTGCTGTAGATATATTTTCATAAACACAATTTGTCCCTTTCTGGTTAGGTTCTTTTGCAATTATTCTCCGTAAGCATTCCAAGCTTTTTAGGTTTTTTAAAAAACTTAAATCAAATCAGAACATAACTGGAGTGATGTAGTTGGAGCCCATGAACACATTTAGCCAATATTCCAAGTATATTTGATATTTGATACAACTTATTTTTCTGACCTCTTCTCTACACAGGGTGCTCGTGGTAACGATGGTCTTCCTGGTCCAGCTGGTCCACCTGTAAGTAATTTTATTTTCAATTTTTTTTGCTCTTCTAGAAATTGTATTTTCCATATTGGATGTGGTGTTACTGACATAACATAACATAACATCACAAATATGTTTCTTTATTTATAACACTCCTGTTGTGTAATATGAGAAAATGCTATGGAGAAGAGGAGCATTGTATTTACAATAGTTCTTCCATTCAATGACACACTTTTCCCTCTATATAAGCATCTCCAAAAATTGGTGAATCTTAGTATTGCAGGTGTATCTTACATATTTTTGTTGGTGATCGTGGTACTGAATTAAGGTGCATCTTACAATAGATGGCATCTTACAATTCAAGAAATGTGGCAAGTTTGTAACCAAGACTCTTGTACTAAATTAAGATTATACTAAATTAAATTAAGTTCATTTGAAACTGAGTAATAGAGGACTATATTAAAGGCTTCACTAAATGGATGTTTTTTAGAGAACATGAAGGCTGAATATGGTGGAGTATATATAGGTGCTTTGGAAGACTTTTTCAAGGAGAATGATATTTTTGAAAAATCTATGAAGTATGTTGTGAGAACTTACAGGCATACATAATAACAGTAGCCTGTCACTGAAGCACACTAATGACTCCTTATTGAATTGTGTTGTATTACTCAATACACTGTATTTCCCCCAACACTGAATGTAAGGTGGCTTACAAAATAAAAAAGCAATGCAAATAAAAGTACACTTAACTAGAAACATGCAATGAAAGAGCATAAGCAAGTTCAGTTCTGCATGCTTGCAGCAAAGCACTTGGGTCATCACGGGCCCAGCATTCTCAACCCAATCCCTCTCTGATGAGAAATGTAAATGATATTGGCAAATTAATTCCTTACATAATTGAGTAGTCAAAGAGAGAGCCAAGATAATAACATTTTAGAAGTAAATGTAGGAGATAACTTAAATATTAAACCAAGTTGAAAGAACAGAAATGAACTGTCTGATTTTCATCATGTATAGAGATATGCCACATAGCTTAGGTTGCATCCAGACAGCCCCCCTTAAAAACGCGGGCTTCTGTGTTTTCACGTGGGGTATCAGAGTCGCCGGTGGCACAGTGGGTTAAACCCCTGTGCTGGCAGTACTGAAGACCAACAGATCATAGGTTCGAATCCAGGGAGTGCGCGGATGAGCTCCCTCTATCAGCTCCAGCTCCTCATGTGGGGACATGAGAGAAGCCTCCCACAAGGATGATAAAACATCAAAACATCCGGGCATCCCTTGGGCAACGTCCTTGCAAATGGCCAGTTCTCTCATACCAGAAGCGACTTGCAGTTTCTCAAGTCGCTCCTGACACGACAAAAAAAAAGTAGGGTGTCGAAACGAAGACCGATGTAAAAGTGAATGCTTTTAGGACAAAGCAGGAAAACCCCACTTTGTTCCAAAGTAATTGGTCAGCCAGGCCTTTCCAGCTGTGGGCGGTGTCTGGATTGTCCCTCAGAAGTCATGGGACTTCTGAGGGGGCTGTCTGCACAGCCCTCTCATGTTTTATGGGCTCCATGAGCCTGGAATATCCAAGAGGGCTCTAACACGCTTCCCAAACACCTCAGAAAAACCTTAAATAAGGAAATAATATCCCCAGCTGCCATTCCCCCTTCTCCGGCACTCTCCTGGTGCATAGAAATGGCCTGCCACAAGAAGCAGGGAGGAGGAAAATCACTCCTGCTTCCTCTTTCTCCTGGCGCATAATTTCTATGCACCAAGAGAGTGCCAGAGAATGGCAGCCGGGTAAGTTTTTTTAAAGGCTTTTCTGGGGAGGTTTGTTTTGTGTCCTGGTGCCCGACCAGAAAGTCTGGCAGGGCATGTGGACACCATCCTCCGAAAATACACACTTTCTGGGGCGTGTGCAGACTTCAACATGGGCTCAATCATGTTTTTAAAACCTGATTGCTCCTGGGTTAAAAGGCTGTGTGAAACTGCCCTTAGTAGTAAACTTAACATAAAGAAGAAGACAAAGAGACAACTCATAAACAAGTTTCCTTATCTAATTGGCAAATGTTAATGAGTATAGACATTAACTGAAAGAAAAGACAAGTTGATCAATTTGGAAGTAGCTCATCACCAATTGGTTGGTCTGAAGGAAGATTTAATATACTCATTCTGGTACAGATGTATTTTTCCTATTCTTCCCATCTTGCCTTATTACAAAGAGGCTCACAAGAATCTCTCCATTAAATTATTTTATCCTGATCAAAATTCCATGTAGGTGAAAGCAAATCGGCCAATGATTAAGTGGGATATTCGAGCACATTTTAATTCCACATAAAATCCAACCCAAAAACCTAATTAACATCATGCTATGGGATAGCTTATCAAAAAGATTATACTGTGGAAAGCAGCTTAGCTTCAGATAGATTAGGATGCCACACTCAACCTGACCATCCCTTCAATAAATTTGGGGTCTGATTTAAATCTCCCAGACATTTATTCTAGTAAACAGGTCAATTGTTAGTCCCACCTTTTGCTGTTTGCAATTTTCCACTGAGTGTGAATATTCTGAATAATTGAAAGAGTTCTGTTCTGTGATTCCCAAGCTAAATGGTACTATTTCCTATCTCTTTCTTCCAGGGACCCGTTGGTCCTGCTGGATCCCCAGGCTTCCCAGGTGCACCAGGTGCAAAGGTAAGTAGTTGTTCAAGGCTAAAATCATTTCTTTTTGTAGCCGGTAGGCTTGTCAGAAACCAACCCCCTCCCTCCCCACGTTCCAAAGGAACCGTGAACACTTCAGTCCTCTCTTCACTGCAGGAAGGCCTGAAGCGATTTATCAGGTCTACCTGCTGAAAAAGTAAAGAGAAGCTGGAATGATTAACAGCCACTGGAAAAAATGAACTTGCTCCTACATGTCTGAATATATGTGTGAGAGAAAAGGAGAATAGAAAAGGAAGATTAGAATGTGAAAAAAGCATGTGTTTAGATATTACAAGTGCATTAAGAATCAGTCCTAAAATGCACTTGTTTGCTCTTGTTTTGATAAAGCACTAAAACAGTTGTTTTTCACTAGAGCTCCTTTATTATTGGCCATACAATGTAGAGATTTTTTTGTGGGCAATAGAATTCATTATTAAAATGGAAGTAAGGAGAACCAATTCAGAGAGAAAGTTATGCATAGTCTTTGTCTTTGCCTTATACTCAGAGAACTGAAATCTTGGGTGAGCTACTGGGGCCACTAACAATTTTGCAAATACCCTTGGTGATCAAACAGACGAGCAGGGCACAACATTAGATTTGATGTCATCCACAGGTGAACCTGAGGAATCCCATGCTCCCCTCTGCAACAGAAACCCCGAAATTTTGTAATTTTCACATCTGCTGTCAGGGAAGCTGCTTCAAATTGGGATTAATGTTAGGTTACTTCATTAGATCCATTATAGAACAATATACCCCATCTTAAGTAAGACTTGATTTCAGAGTTCTTTAAGAAATGGAAGAGCATTTGTTTGAAGGAGAAAAGATTCCTATTATGGCTTTCAAAGGGACATTTTTTATGTTTTGAAGATCAAAGCAGTTAGTTTTAAGAGCATAGATCAGAAGGCTGCACTTCTCACAGCAAAGCCTTTCATTTTGCTTGCATGCAATCTTTATACTTTGTACATTTGTCCGCTATGGACAAAATAGTCAGTATATGGAATCAGTCAACTGACCAGACATAGAGGGCGTTGATAGGAGCCAGGGTGGTCAGATGGATACTGGGAGACTAGGGTTCAAATATCTGCTCAGCCCAACAACTGAAATGGGTGACTCTGGGCAAATCTCTCTCTCTTAGCCTTAGAGGAAGGCAATGTGGAACTTACTCCAAAGAAATCTATACAGACTTCATAAGTCAGGATCGACTTGAAAGCACATGACAATGACAACATAGGACTTAACAACACACAATAAAACCAGTGTTTTTACATATAGGAGAATGTCTCCTATATGATGGGAAGGCAAACTGATAGTTTGAAAAGAAAGCCGAACAAAGGAAAAAATGTTAGGAGGGTAGGAAAATCATTCATTTAATTTCCAAGCAGGGTTTTGCAAAGCTTAAGGGAAAAACAATGATTCCCAACGCTTTTCTTATTGCGTAGGATGAAGTCCATAGAAGCTTGTGCTCAAAAATAGTCACATGTGGCCTGAAAAAGTACGTTCCTAGAGAGTGCCACTATTTGACCATGCACATAATAGGCTTGAGCGCGGATCTGTTTTTAGCTGTTTCCTTTGGCTAATCCGGCTTCTTTGGTTTGCTCAGGTGCTCATAACAGCCCTCACGGATTCCCGTCCAAAACGGGACCATGTGGCAGCCAATCCTGGCTTCTCCTCCTATTTGGCATTACAGTTTAATCTTTTCAATTTTCCTTTATTTTCTTGATACTTTTTATTTAGTAGGACTGACTGGGAGTTGTGAACATGCGGGACGGGTGGATGGGGGGTTTGGGAGAGTCACCTTTTAAGCATTTTTCCCCTTCCCTTCCTCTCCTTCAACTACTTCTAAAAGATAATAATAATAATAATTAATTCCTGCAAACAAAAAGAAAACCCTTGTTCTCTGAAAACTACTTACCATCTAGTTACCAATCCTCTAGAGTAGAAAGTAGAAACAGCTTAATGGAAGCATTAAATCCAAAGCAGAAAGCAGAAAAGAGATTAAAATGTGCCCACTGAAGGCGGGGCCTGCAGTAGAGAAAAAAGATGGTTTTTTAAAAGAAGCCCATGGATGATAGCTCCAGGTCATTGCTCTTCCTTTCCCTGGGCCTCCTTAAAATGCCTTGGAAAGCTATGTGACTGCTGCAGGGAGAGAAAGCTTACGCCTGCCTGCAGCACCTCTTCTCTAGAGTAGAAACAGCTTTAATGAAGCATTAAACCTGGTTTCCTCTACAAACAGAAGGGAAAGGATCACAGAAAGAGTGGTATCTTAATTCTGATGCTTTTAATCCAGGTCTTATTGAAGGATATGGAAGGGGAGCCTGTGGGAAGTTCCCCATAATGGGCCGGATAGAGTACTTCCTTAACTCAAATGTCCCTTTGAAAGCCATAATAGGAATATTTCCTCCTTCAAACAAATGGTCTTCCATACTTTCTTAACTCTTAACTGACACCCTTGCTCTCTTGAAAGAAAAAAGGAAAGGCTCCCAGGAACGGAAAGGGGAGCGTCATTAAGTTCCCCATTGCCACCGCATTTTTAGGCTACGGACCGGAAACAGATATCAGGCAACTCACCTGTTTTTGGGAGGCATACAAAAATGGTTACGGGGGTCTACCGGTATCTGACCAGCAGAAACAGATTGAGGTTCAGCCAAAATGCATAAGCCTAGCACATAATTTAGTTCTTATTTAACATGGGGATTCCGGAAATCCCTGACCTTGGATGTTACCAAAAAAGGAAGGAAAGACAAAACATTGGCAACATAAGCCTTGTTGTTGTTCATTCGTTCAGTCGTTTCCATCTCTTTGTGACTTCATGGACCAGTCCATGAAGCCTAGTCACCCCCATTCTCAATTGGAAGTCCTTCTTTTAATTCTTCGAAGAGCAATGTGTTCTGGTTTGTCTACTTCTTCTGCATTCTTGCCTGTAACAATGATGAGCTCTTTTCAGTTAAGAGGGCTGCTCATGCATTGCAGAAATAGTCACATTCTGACTGTATCCAGGCCAATGGGCATTTTACCAAAGGCTTGAAGGGAAGCTCATATTTTGTCCAAAGGTTTGAGTACATCAGGTAATCAATCCACTCGCACAGTTCTGCCCTTTCCGAGCCCTGAGCTACAGTAATCGCATGCACATACCCCCTCCCAAATCTCAGCTTGGTTGGTATATCTGGTTTCCCTAATGTGAGTCCTTTTAAGGCAAGGGAAAGTCAAGACAGAAAGCCTTTCCTTTGGGAATTCCCAGTGCCATGCGGTCCTATGGCTTCAGGTTGCTAATCTTGTTGGGACTGGTTACTAGGGTTACCAGACAGTGAGGAGGCTGTGTTGGGGGAGCTGGGCCCCCCAGAAGCCAGGCCTTTTCAGGAATGGCTGACAGACATTGATAACTGGTCTTTAGGGACAATCAGTGGCCGCATTATAAGAAGACGGAGGTGGGGGAGTGCCTTCTGAGGTGAAGGGGAAGGCCATATGATAGTGCACTTGGGAACCTATTGAGTCAAGAGAATGAAGAGATGAAACGGAAGTCCCTGTTTCAGTGAACTGATAAGGCGAGATTAATATGGAACAAAAACTAATTCTAAAAAGAAAGTTGAAGGAGACACACTAGTAGATAGCAACAGCGGTAGATAGCAGATAAAGCACTAAAATAGCGTTTTATTTTTACAAATCAGACCTTTTTTCAAAGAGTATTCCACTCCTCCACAGCTCTACGTACATGTTTGAAATTCTCACTCCTGCCTCCTACCCTTAAAAAAAACTTGAGGGAGAGGAATGATAAAATAAATCACATTGTCCTCATATTGAAAAGTTCTCTGAGTGCTGAGTGTGTTTTACATTGAAAGGATGTACTTCATTCCAAAACAGAGTGCTTCTGCACATGTGCCGTCTATTGAGGGTTGGACTGGATGGCCCTTGTGGTCCCTTTGAACTCTAGGATTCTGTTGTTCTCTGAATATAGCTTCCAAACTTCATGATGACGTTTTATGAAGAAATTTCACATTTTTTCTGCATGAGTACAACAAAGAGTTTAGCAACGTTTGTCCTTCCCAAAAAGAGTTAAAAATTCAAATTGCAGTCACTATAAAACACTTTCTATTATATCAGTTATGTTGGCAATATCTCCTAGTCTAGAATGCATGTTTTCATGATACGCTCCTAGGCATTCTTGGAGGTTTGTGGGGATCAGTCTTCTGAGATCAGTCACAGCATGAAAACTTCTCTGACAGAATACCCTCTGCTACAAGTCTGTGCTTGTTCATGTTCTACAGCAGTGGTTCTCAACCTGTGATCCCCAGATATTTTAGCCTTCAACTCCCAGAAATCCTAACAGCTGGTAAATGGCTGGGATTTCTGGGAGTTGTAGGCCAAAACACCTGGGAACGCACAGGTTGAGAACCACTGCTCTACAGTCTTTCGCAGTAGAAGATGCCCTGGAACACTATATAACACACTGGGATTAAAACTGGGTTACTCCACAGATAAACTGCTGTTGGAATGTTGTTAGATGATGGTAGAAAGCATTAAAAAGCTTTACCTATCTTTAAACTCAGTGTAAAGCACTGAGGCAGTATGGTGCAGAGTTTAGAGCATTGGCCTGCAACTCTCAAGACCAGGGTTTGAGTCTTCAGTCTGCAATGGAAGCCCACTGTTTGACTTTGGCCAAGTCACACACTCTCTGTCCCAGAAACCCCAATGATAGATTCGCCATAAGTTGGAAGTGACTTGAAACCACACAGCAACAATAACAGATTGGAGATAAACTTTAGCTGTTATGTGAAAGGTGCCACTGCAATAAAATACATAACGGCTTGTTACTGTCCCAAGTAACTCTCTCATAATGTCAGGAATCCATGACCTTCTAGATGAGCACAGTCAATGGCTGAAAGCTTCAGGGAGGTGGGTTGGGTATTAGTCCTATATTTGTTTGCATAGCTTACAAACAATCATATTGGATGGTCAACATCAAGCATGAGTACACTTCAACCCTCCAGGTGTTTTGAACTTCAACTCCCATAATTCCTAACAGCTGGTGTCCAGGTGTTTTGGACTTCAACTGTTGGGAATTGTTGGGCTGTTGGGAATTATGGAAGTTGAAGTCCAAAACACCTGGAGGGCTGAAATTTGCCCATGCCTGGTCTACGCTGTACTGAGTTGTTCATTCAGTCTGGTTCTTGTGAAGAGGAAACTACTGAGCCTAGCAATGGGTGCCTTTGCCAATTTTCTTTGGTCTCACCATCTTCTCTCTTACCCCTATTACAGGGTGAAGCTGGCCCTACTGGTGCTCGTGGGCCTGAGGGTGCACAAGGTTCCCGCGGTGAGCCTGGAAACCCTGGCTCTCCTGGCCCGTCAGGAGCTTCCGTGAGTATCCGACTCTTACAATGAGAACCAGAACCAGAATCCTCTGGTGCCTCTTTTTAATGCAAAATTCTTCTGCTCGTATGCCATATTATTCCAATGTCATTTACAATTGGCTTGCCATATCTATGAACTCTGCACCCACAGATTCAACCACTCATGGCTTGCAAGTATTTGAGGAAAAACTCCAAAAAGACAATGTGATTATGCTGCATCCCAAGCACTATGCAGAAGTGTAGGCATACCTGCTGTGGTCTTTGTTGCTTCTCAGATCCCCGTTTGTTTGTCATTTTACATAAGGGAAGACATTTTATCCTAGGTTGCTGTAAGTTTTTCGGGCTATATGGCCATGTTCTAGAGGCATTCGCTCCTGACGTTTCGCCTGCATCTATGGCAAGCATCCTCAGAGGTAGAGATACCTCTGAGGAGGCTTGCCATAGATGCAGGCGAAACGTCAGGAGCGAATGCCTCTAGAACATGGCCATATTGCCTGAAAAACTTACAGCAACCTAGTGTTTCTGGCCATGAAAGCCTTCAACAATACATTTTTCCTGCCATGGTATGTGATGAGACTTGAACATCCATGGGTTTTGTTATCCTAGCAGATACCAAGGTCCCACTTTAGTAGCATTTCCTCTATGGGGCAAAAACAAGTGCACAACCAAATCACAACAGGCCATAAATAATAATGGGGATCCAGACTTGGTAGTGTGATAATTGAATTTTTTTTGTGTGGCTGACCTGAGTTGCATATTACCTAGAGCAAGCGGGGGAAATCACACTATCTGGTAGGTGTACCCAAACTAAAATAAAGAAAAGAAATTATCAAAATCTAAGGGAGAAATAACTCTGTTCCTATTGAGATAATCTTCTGTAATTGAGAACCCTTCCAGACAGGCCCTATACCCCAGGATCTGATCCCAGGGTTTCTGCTTTAAACAGGATTATATGAGTCTGCATTGCCAGATAATCTGGAGTAAACAGAAAACCTGGGATCATATCCTGGGATATAGGGCCTGTCTGGAAGTGCCCAGAATTAGGCAATATATATAATTACTCTGTTTCCCCAACCACTTCTGTTATCAGGAACATCCTAGGAATAGAACTAGGAATAAGTGCATAAAGCCACCAGCAGATGGCAATGGTGCAATTGGCACAAATATGCTCTACTAGGTCCTCTACTACTACTACCACACACACATACACACAATGATCTATCCCCAGATAAGAGGGCTTCCTATGTTTAAAACCATATAACTAGGACTCGAGGGCTAGAAGACCAAGATTCACTAGGTCCTTCAATATTCACCCAATGACTGGAAAGCCAAAAATATTAATCTCCTTTCTCTGGACTCAAAGGAAAAGCAGTATTGATCACAGCTCTTCGAATTCTTTATTCCATTGAGCTTGAAAGAGAGCTAAGTACTTGCTTTATCTTTCAATAATGCAACAGAAATGGAGAGTGATTTAGAAATGGAATGATATAATGACTAATTGTAAAGTTGTAGTATAACAGGTGTATAAAAAACCCACATTTCACATTATATCTGTATCTGGAAAAATTGGGAATACTAATGGAGTCCACATTGTGTTTTATAAATTGTTTGTGTTGCTCCTTCGTATCCAGGCTCTCCATAGGGAATTTAATACTTCATTTAGATATCCTTTCCGTGTTTTATTTCGAAAAATATATTGCAGTTCCCTCAACCTCCACAGTTTAAGAGCCTTTTCTCCAATAATAATAATAATAATAATAATAATAATAATAATAATAATAATTTATGTATTTATTTACTTCATTTTAACCCCACCTTCCTCGACCCGAGAGGGGACTCAAGGTGGCTTACAAATCTGGCAAAAATTCAATGCCACACAGTTGACAATAAAACAGGTTTATTTATTTTTTAATTTGTTTATTTAGGGCATTTGTATCCCGTCCTATCTCAACCTCCGCAAAGGGACTCAGGGCAGCTACCAACCGGCACAGCCAACAACAGAGTAAAACAATCATAAATATACATATTATAATATAAATATAAATATATAAATATAAAATATGAGATTAAAATACTTTTATCTCATAAAAATATAAACAATCTAAGCATATAAACAATTAAAACTCATACCAATCTATTAAAACCACACATAACATGTCAAGTCATGGTCTCATATCCAAATATAATAATAATAATAATAATAATAATAATAATAATAATAATAAATTTTATTTATATTCCAGTCTTCTCCCCTGGTGGACTCGGAGCGGATTACAGTATTAACATTCATAGGCAAACATTCAATGCCTTTACACCCTACCCTCCAATAGCAACACGTTTTAATTCTCTTTTTTAAACGTAAAACAAAACTTGCATATATCTACTGTCCCTGCACCAGTTGTCATACAGAGAATCAGAATTACTTTCTATCTTTTCCCCCAAATATGGGAACAGCTGGTTTCTCTGGGGAAACAAGTGCCTAGCCTTCTGTGATGGAAACAGCATAAAGAAGGGGGCAATTCAACATCAAGAGTTTTTCTCAATGCTTTCTTCTTGCTTTTAGGGCAACCCTGGAAGTGATGGAATCCCTGGTGCCAAAGGATCTGCTGTGAGTACTGAGTTGCCTTGACAAGGAGATCTAGAAGTGTTTGAAAAGGGGAACCGATGTTGTCATAATTCGGTCTTAAGGGATCCGTCACAAGAAAATATGAGTCTTAGGCTATAAAAGATGGTGTAATGTCTCACATAATGAGTAATGTCTTTCTCACTTCTCAACTTTATGTTTCCTTAACAGGGTGCTCCTGGCATTGCTGGTGCTCCTGGTTTCCCTGGTCCCCGTGGACCACCTGGGCCTCAAGGGGCAACTGGGCCTTTGGGTCCCAAAGGTCAGGCGGTAAGAAACCATGACCAATATGGGGCTAATGTAAAACTTCAGACTGGACCACAGTGGGCTAATGTAAAAGTCACAGGACTCAGGGGTCAGAATCTTGCTTCCTATCCTTCAGTATATCCTATCTTTCCTATCCTTCCCTCAGTATATCCTGTCTTTCTTATCCTTTCTTCAGTCTCCCTTTGTAAAAGGTGAGAGATTTATACGATCTGAAGAGAAACCAAAGTATCAGTAACCCATCATGAGATAGTTGGAGCCTTCGGTGGCGCAATGGGTTAAACCCTTGAAGCCCAACAAGTCGCAGGTTCGAATCGAGGGAGAGTGCGGATGAGCTCCCTCTGTCAGCTCCAGCTCCCCATGCGGAGTCATGAGAGAAGCCTCCCACAAAGATGGTAAAACATCAAAAACATTCAGGTGTCCCCTGGGCAACGTCCTTGCAGATGGCCAATTCTCTCACACCAGAAGCGACTTACAGTTTCTCAAGTTGCTCCTGACATGAAAAAAAAACTTATTGTGTTCACTGATACTCGCATTTTAACAAAGATGTGGGTGAATTTAATCATAAGAAGGCAGTGACCAGGAATCCATGTGCTTTAGCTGGCCCTTGTAGCTAGTTATTTATGATCACCATTAACCTAATTAGTTCCCCAAATCCTCTGAAGCATGGAGAGGACTCGGAAGAGATAAGGTCAGTCCTTCACAGCATGCTTGGTGTCACTGATACATGTAATCTCTTTTGCTGCTTCTGGAGCCTGGCATGAAGTGAGCAAGACTGACTTCTTCCTTTCCCCTCATTTTCTAGAGGACTTGGAAGAGGAACGGGTCCTGTTCCTACCATTTCTAATTCTCTATGGTGCATGGGAATCTTTAAGTAGCTTTCACTTTTTGCTAGGCAAGAAAAGGCAGGCTGCCAGAAAGTAGTATTTGGGATACTTACCTAGCTCTTAGCATGAAGCAGCAAAGTGCCAAGGAGAAGATAAGACACCAGTGTGAAAGTATTATCTAAAAAAAAAAGAACAAGGCGATTGCCGATAAGCTAAATAAATGCAGGAGTCATCATCACAGAAGATGATGCCAGGTGATAGGAATGTAAACACTCAAGTATGTCATCCTATCATGTAAGGATGACTGATTACTATAGTTTTCTTCCTGTTGTAGTCAAAAATCCATTTTTCCGCTTAGCATTCTCCTTTCATTTAAGCATTCTGAATTGTTCCTGCACAGATAGGTCCCACTTCTGGGTGTTCAAATACTTTTGGGAAAACTCTTCTCTTCTGGAGATAGGTATGAATGAAAGCCTTCGACAATACATCTCACTATATTATTATTCATTGTGAAGTTTTCTAGACTCTCGGGGAACTTTTTTTTTTCAAATGAGGAAATGAAAAAAAAAAGAAGAAGATTTTTTCACCTTTTTTAGAAGACAAAAGCTAGATAAAATTGGTCCTCTGGGCCCTTCCACACAGCCATATAACCCAGAATATCAAAGCAGAAAACCCCACATTACCTGCTTTGAACTGGAATATATAGCAGTGTGGATTCAGACAACCCAGTTCAAAGCAGATATTGTGGACTTTTCTGCCTTGATATTCTGGGTTATATGACTGTGTGGAAGGGTTTGCATGGTGAGGATTGTACTTTTCCATTTTTTCTCAAAGGGGTTCTCAAATATTTAACTGATAGCAGAAATATGCAGCATCAATAGAAATATCTTCTTTGTGGATAGGAGACAGCCAGTGTAAATAATAATAATAATAATAATAATAATAATAATAATACTTTTTTAATACCCCACTCCACCTCCCCCAAGGGGACTCGGTGCGGCTTACATGACGCCACGCCCATCGATACAATACAAACAATATAACACAAAAACATAATATAACACAAAAACATAATAGTTTACCTGTCCGAACGGATTCTCCCCTATGAACCATCAAGGCCCTGCTCTCGGTCCCACCTCCTTCGCAATCGCGTCTGGTAGGGACGAGGGACAGGGCCTTCTTGGTGGTGGCCCCTCGGCTCTGGAACTCTCTCCCGTTGGAGACTAGGTCTGCCCCTTCCCTCCTGACTTTCAGAAAGCTGGTAAAATCTTGGCTTTGGAATATAGCATTTGCAGAATGATGATTGAGTCAATAACGGCTGACCACACTGGTGGATGGTGATGAATTTGTGATTTTACTCTGACACCTGGCTTTTGTAATTGCACGATCTGTATTTTAATGTATTTTTGTATTAATGTATTATGATGCTATTATGTTTATTGTATGCGTGTATGAATTTTCTGCTGTTAGCCGGCCTGAGTCCCTCTTCGGAGGTCGAGAAGACCGGGTTATAAAAGCTCTAAATTAAATAAATAAACCAAACAAATACATAAAATGCAAAATCAATGTAATATACGACACAACAATATAAAATCAAGCATTAAAAACACAGAAATCCAATTTTTATAAAAAATGCAGCCAGAGCTAGGAGATTACAAAACTATTAATGTAGCCTCTGGTCTGGAAATACAGTGTTGTTAAATGTGGCTCTTCTAGGACAGATATTTCCCATTTCTGTTAAAGGTGGGTCCTTGGCACAACCCACCCTCCATTAAAATGAGTTATTCTACCAAAAACCCATTCTTTCCCACTATACAATTTCCGGATTGCTTTGTTTCCCATTTCTCCTCTTCCATCTAATGTTGTTTCTTTTCTTTTGCTCACTTTGATTCCTATCTGTGCTGATGATCAGTATCTGCCCAACCTGTGTTTCCTCTACTGTTGAAATAGCCTTTAGATCAGACAACAAGTGAGAGTGTTTTAGAAGCTTTGCTTATTAACTCAGCAGGTGGCTTGAAGTGATCGAGGAGCTTTGTTATTCTAATACCGTTCTCTTTCTCACCTCTGTAGGGAGAACCTGGAATTGCAGGTTTCAAAGGTGAACAAGGCCCCAAGGGTGAACATGTAAGTACCTGGTGATGTGACTTTGTGCTACTATGGAACAAAAGGGATGCTTGGGATGTATTAGGAGTAAATGACATTGTTTGCTAACTATATCGTGAAGAGCTAAGCCTCACATCTCTTTTGCTTCCATGTAAGCGGATGGAAACTTTATCTACTTTAAGACTATAATGCACAGGTAAGGGGAATTTAATCTCCCCCTCTCCCAATTATTTTACCTCTAAATCTTATGTATACCCAGAGGCGGCCCTAGGTAATTTTCAACGGTAAGCAAACAGTATTTTGGTGCCCCCCCCCCCCAACCAATCACTGTTATATATTTTCTGTTCGTCGTGGGAGTTCTGTGTGCCATATTTGGTTCAATTCCATCACTGGTGGAGTTCAGAATGCTCTTTGATTGCAGGTGAACTATACATCCCAGTAACTACAACTCGCATATGTCAAGGTCTATTTTCCTCCAAGAGCACTTCTGGGCAAAATCAACTATACTGCAAATGCTTACTTTGCGTAATGGGTTGAGCCACCCCTGTGTATACCCTTAGCTACACATAAGCATTGTGGTCCTTGCTGCCCTTAGGCCTTTAAAGATTAGCAAAGATTTCTGACTCCTTGTTATTTGAACGAATGAGTAAAATCCTTCTTTCCCCACCTGCAAAAAAAGTATAGCTGAAATTGAAAAAAGATTGGGATAAGATCTATATAACAAAATCTTCTACACACATAATAAAAGTGAAAATATGTGTATGTGGTGGAGGCGTCCACTTACACAGACAGCCTCCAGCCTCCACAAACAGGCTGTAGTTCCAAGTGCCAAGAAGCCTCCAAAGACACCCCCGCCACTGACATTACAGCAGTGTTTCTCAACCTGGGGGTCGGGACCCCTGGGGGGGGGTCTCCAGGGGGTGTTAGGAGGGTCACCAAAGACCATCAGAAAACACATTATTTTCTATTGATCATGCAGGTTTTGTGTTGGAAGTTTGCCCCAATTCTATCGATGGTGGGGTTCAGAATTGTCTTTGATTATAGGTGAACTATAAATCCCAGCAACTACAATCCCCAAATGTCAAGATCTATTTTCCCCAAACTCCCAAAAGTGTTCATGATTGGGCATATTAAGTATTCATGCCAAGTTTGACATCAAGATTCATCATTGTTTGAGTTTACAGTGTTCTTTGGATGTAGGTGAACTACAACTCCAAAACTCAAGGCAAAACCCATCTAACCTTTCTAGTATTTTCTGCTGGTCATGGGAGTTCTGTCTGCCAAGTTTGGTTCAATTCCATCACTGGTGGAGTTCGCAGTGCTCTTTGTAAGTTAACTATACATTCCAGCAACTACAACTCCCAAGTGACAAACTCCTCCCAACCCCACCAGTATTCAAATTTGGGCATATTGGGTATTTGGGATTTGAAAATACATCCTGCATATAAGATATTTACATTACGATTCATAACAGTAGCAAAATTACAGTTATGAAGTAGCAATGAAATGTTATGGTTGGGGGTCACCACAACATGAGGAACTGTACTAAGGGGTTGCGGCATTAGGAAGGTTGAGAAACACTGCATTACAGGTTATAGTGAGAACCATGAACATGTAGTCCAAACGCTGCCAATGTCCACCCCAAGCGCTATGGCCCATCACCCAAGGAAAGTTTTGGCAGTTTAATAAACTTTCCCCTTGTTTTGTTTTAATGGTAGACCCAATTAGGAAACGACATTTCTAACCCAGGAACTGAAATCATGTTACATGGTGTAACTGGGAGTAGATTTTTGTGGGGAAGGACTGTAGTCTTCTCAAAACAAATACATGAGCTCAGACTCTTCAGCTCCAAAAAGTATGTTGTGTGCTTCAGGCCTTGTTGAGTAGATTTCAGGTTTCTATTTACAAAATGAAGTGTATCACCCAAACCTGAAATTATGCTAGTCCTTATGAAGTTCAGATTCCACTAGCTCAGCTGTTAATATTGGCTGGATCTATGCTGCTTTATAATCCAGTTTCAGAATGCAGGTTAACAGCATCGAACTGGATTATATGGCAGTTTAGACACATGGAATCCAGTTCAATACAATTAATCTACCTTCTGAAACAGGATTATGTAGCAGTGTGGATCCGGCCATAGTGTACTTGAACTAGCAGAGGGAAATATCAGCCCTTGGCCCATTATGCCTAAATAGCCTAATTACACCGGATCCTCTCTGATTGTGGAAGCTAAGCAGGGTCAGCCTGGTTTAGTGTTTGAATGGGAGACTGCCTTTGAATAGTGGGTGCTGTAGATTATATTTCAGAGGAAGGAACAGACAAAACTATCTTGGACTGGTTGTGTTTGATCTAAAGGGGAGGGGAGTTCTCACTTGCTACATTCTTAGCTCACCTCTGTGAAAAATGGAATATACTCATTGAGGTTTAGGTCCTGCATGAAGTCTAGAGTCAGCACTACAATCCAGGCTTGCTGTACATGCAGGTTTTCCTGTATAGCCTTTGTGCAATAGTAACATCCACCATAAATTTCCCACAAGCTCAGAGATGGCACAGATAGCACAGTCCCCTTATGCTCATCCTTTCATGGTTGGTAAATTCATTTAACCTGTTCTCTCCTTTAAAAGCTTTCCACTATAGGGAGTCCCACAGGTCTGAAAAAGAATTTGACCACATTTCTTAGAAATTGCATGTTTTATTCACTAGTGCTTATGACTTTGTTCGATGGTGGAATTGTGTGTTGCATGCAGAATATCCGTGATTTAACCCCTGCATTGCTGTATAGTTTGAAAAGCTATTGACTGTCAAGATTGTATACATCTGGGTGGATGAAGTATTCCATTGAGTATGTTGAGTATGTTTGTGAGGTAAACACTTTTCCTCCTCCCAATTAGCTCATCATAAATCTAACATTATGATGAACCCTTGCACCTTCCATTCTCTGCCTTGATTAGAGAGAGACAGAGGTCTTTTCTTTCAAGCAGAAATCATTCATAGCCTCATCGTCTGCCAGTCCCTTTGGCTACAAAGATTTGTGCCATGGGTGGCCTGAGCCACACCAAGCCAAACAATGCCCACCCTGTTGCATCTGAGCTCCACTGCTGAAGCTTGGACGCTGAGGCTGCTGAGTGCCAAACCCTGCTTCATTAGACAGTCTAAATATCAGATAGAAGATCATTCCAAGTTGGCATAAATGCCTCTTCATAAGATTTGCACCAGCAGAAGATTTGCACCTCTGATTTCCAGTCAGCTTCAGCTGTGCCAGTTTGCATCAAATAGTTGTCTGTTCCATCAAATTTCATGGAGCTGAGATTGTTTACTACACCTGCAAACTATGAAGCATCTTCATTCCGTGATGAATTGAGTCATGGATTTGTTGACCTGGAACAATTTCATTGATTCAACTTTAGTGCCCAGCAGCTCCTCAAGGAGGGATTCTGATATCTGCCTGGGTTTAAATCATTCCAGGGTCTCGTCTATTTTTAAAAAAATGACAGGAATATATTGAGAGTTCAAGTGTACTGGGCACAGAAAAAGAAGCCTTATGTGAAAACCTAACCCTATATATTTACTTATGTATAAATCTATAAATGTTAATTTAAAAAATGATCCCCAAAACCTGGGTTGATTATTCATAAGTTAATGGTAGTACAGTTCCTTAACTCTTATCTTAAAAAGGAAAAATTACCTTCTCTGAGTAGAATGGTGAAAGTCACGAGCTTAGTTCATCCTGAAAGAACCAAAAAGAAGCATTGCCCTCCTCTACTCTCTTATCACTTTTGCCCTTTCTGAATGCTTTGGGTCAGAAAATGGCAGTGGTGATGGGTAGAGGAAATGGCCCTTGAGATGTCATTGGTGCTTTCCCCTCTTCACAGAATGACTTGCAACTTATTCACAAGTCACATCAAAGTCTATTATTTAATAATAATAATAATAATAATAATAATAATAATAATAATGGTAATAATAATAATAATAATAATAATAATAATAATTATAATAACAACTTTATTTATATCCCACCGCGAACTCTCAAAAGGGATTTGGGAGGGCTTACAGAACAGCACATAATAGTGCCATAAAAAATATTGAAATGCAACATTTGTGACAATAACAATAACAATATTAATTAACATAATTCAACATTTACAAAAAAGGGAAAAATCACTATTATTTGTCGCCCCAAACCTGCCCTCGACTTATGCATGAAGTCGACTTATACTTACATATGGAATGTTACATACATATGAGTACATACATATGAGTCGACTTATACTTACATATGGAATGTTACATACATATGAGTACATATGGAATGTTTAAAAAAACACAAGGAAAAAAATGATGGGGAAAATAAAGATTTTGTATTTCCCAATCCAAACTCTTATCATCAGTTGGCCTTGAATACCTTTCTATTGATTTATCCATCTCTCATTGAACTCATTGCATACTTTGTGGTGATGCTGTGATCATTGCTAGGACACGTTTGACAATAGAAGATGGAGGAGTGCAAAGACTGACTGAGCCTCTTGGTTTGCTTCCCTCCTCCTTTCTAGGGCCCTGCTGGCCCACAAGGGCCTCCTGGACCAGCTGGCGAGGAAGGCAAGAGAGGTGGCCGTGGTGAACCAGGATCTGCAGGGCCCATTGGACCACCTGGTGAGAGGGTAAGTGGTTTCATCTGGGGATGGTACCTTCCTCCATATAAAGCAAAAGACTTTTGCCATCTGTACATGCCAAACAAATCCTATAGTTATCTTGATTTTGAAATCTGGTAAGGATAATGCTATGAAATAGATATCATTTTGGGCAGAACACAATGTAAAAGGTTTGTTCTGCTTATATTTACATGGTTTATGATACAGAAGGTTCTGGTTTGGCTGAGCTGGTATGGTAAGTCAAGTAGGCAATTGGGTGTTTTCAATTTCAGTGGTTTCCAAACCCGGGTCTCCAGGTGTTATTGGATTTCAGGTCTCAGAGGCCACATCTAGCAAGAAGACAATGAAATATTTTGTGAGCTATAATCAAATAATATCTAAGGACCCACAAGTTGGAGTATAGAGCTCTAAGGAAGAATGCTTACTGGGTTCAGATACAATATGAACTAGATTTCCAGAAAGCCATTTTAATGGAGAGGTAAAGTACACAAGCAGGAAGGGCCAGGCTTTGAATAATGGAATAATGAATTAAGCCAAGGGATAATGAAAGGATAAAGTGCGATGTGTGAGTAACAGCTCACTTTATGAGCTAAATACATGATGGGATAAAATATGGATGAAATATGTTAAGCATGAAAAGACATTTTTGATGACTTACAAAATTACTGAAAAAATTACTGAAATAATCCCAAATGTACAGTAGGTTTTTGGTTCTTTGGGACTCTGATGTGGCAGCCAGCCTAGCACCGAATAGTTCTTTTGTAATGCTGAGCCAATACAATAGTGGCTTACCAAGTGTATTCTTGTGACATGCAATGACACAAACCTTCAAAACAGAGAATTGACTTTAGGCTATTAAAGGCTGGCAAATTTATAACAGGTTGGAAAATATAAATTAAGAGTAACCTAATTAAAAGTCTTAGGAAATGCTGTAGGTTTATCTACTAGTTCACTCTGAGGTTTTGGTGTTTTCATGCTCTTGAATATGTTGCTTCCTTATGCTTCATGATCAACTGGAGGATGTATTTTGCTCCCGATGTACTCATTGCCAGTAATGCTGTCTAAGAGTCAGGTCTCTGGATGTTTGCACTCCTTGACTTCTGTATTAGTCATTATTTCTTTGTTTTTAGGGTGCTCCCGGAAATCGTGGTTTCCCAGGACAAGATGGATTAGCTGGTCCCAAGGTGAGTGTTTGAGATTCCTAACCTCTCAGTTAATGAAATAATAAATTTAGGGATTATAATATATTAAGCTTTTCTTTCTGCTTCTCTTAATTGCATACCATCTTTTGATAGCTGCTTAGACAGGACTACATTTTCCTATCTGCTTTGTTGTGGAACACGTGGAACTCTTAAGATACTAAAAAGAAAGTGGGATTTAGTGTTTCTTTTAAAGGCCTCCTATTTCAAACACCCTTTCACTGAAGCCATATTGAAACTCTAAATAAAGGAAAGTCAGCATGGTGTAATAGCTCAAGTGTTGGATTAGGATTTTGAAGAATAGGGTTTGAATCCCTGCTTGGCCATGGATATTTATTTACTGATGGCTCTGGGAAGCTTTCTCAGCCTCAAAGGAAAACAAATGTGAAAACCTTTTGAACAAATTCTGCCAAGAAAATCCAATGATAGCAGGAAATGATTTGAAGACACTCAACAACAGCAAATAATAGTGACCCAAGTACATTTGGATAGTCATGATTGTTGTTGTTCATTCGTTCAGTTGTTTCCGACTCTTTGTGACCTCATGGACCAGTCCACGCCAGAGCTCCCTGTCAGCTGTCACCATCCCCAGTTCCTTCAAGGCCAATTCAGTCACTTAAAGGATCCCATCCATCCATCTTGCCCTTGGTCGGCCCCTCTTCCTTTTAGTCAATCAATAGTACATAAATATTCAAGCACCCAAAAAGACTTAGGGTGCTTCCAGACAGCATCAAAGTGCAGGTTTAAAAAGTGGGGCAAAAAATCCCAGGACCTGACAGCAAGTCCACACACAGAACTGTCAGTCCCAGGAAATGCTCCCCCATCATCCTCATACCTTCCTTTAAAGTGGATTTTACAAGTCTGCAAGATGGAGGGTGGGCGGGGAACATCTGGCAGAATTTTTAAAAGTCTTTCTGAGATACACTGGACCTAATATGTGCTCATGCGGAGATCCCAAGCAGATTTCTTATTCTTTTAATTCACTCAATTATAAATTCAAGCACTGTTTAATATTATAAATGTTAGAAAAAGGATTGATTGCAGAGAGTTCTAACTGCAATTGCTTTTCAACTCTGTGTGTCCATGGTTCCATTTTTTGACAGCTTGATCAGCTGTTTCATGGTTTTGAAACACGCACCTGCTCTTGAGCAGTCCACACAGTGAGCTCGGAAGGAAGTCACGTGTTTTCCATTACTTCAGGGATATACAATCATGTGAAGATGTAAAAATTTTGGCTGGAATCGTATTTTAAACACAAACTTTTCAGCTGTTAACCTGATTAACCACACTTCCCCCAAACATTGTTTAGCCTCTTTTATCCCGGTTTCTTCTGTGTTTTTAGGCATGTGCAGAAGGGCCCTTAGTGGGAACTAATCTATGCTTTCTGCAGCAGTATCATCCATTGATTCTGCAGATGTGGATACACCAGTATTGAAATGGGCTTCTCAACTCTTTGGGAACACATTTAGGCTGGATTTGCTTTGCAAAATGAAGGTCAATTGCATTGAACTGGATTATCTGAATCTACAGTGCCATATAATGCAGTTCAATGCAGTTAATCTGCATTCTTACACTGGATTTCACGACAGAACATACCCTGCCCAGTTTTTATAAATAAACTAGTTTTCTCCAAGTTGTGTTAGTGTTGCCAACCCCTTCACAGAGGTGAAGTTGCAAAGCTCTTTCCAATACCATGACATTTAAATCCATTTGGAAATGTTTTGAAAGCACTGGCCTGAATGGCTGAAGCCCATTGGACAGAAAACTTTGGCTCAAACTCAGTTGTGACTGTTGTTCCTAAAATACTACAAGGAACCATAACTCAAGGATTTTCTTGCTCCTCTTCCCTGAACAGGGTGCTCCTGGTGAACGTGGTCCTCCTGGTCTTGGAGGTCCCAAAGGTGCTAGTGGAGATCCTGGCCGTCCTGGAGAGCCCGGCCTTCCTGGTGCTAGGGTAAGATACAAAATAGGACTGTACTGGTGGTATGGATAATGCCCAGGAATCTAGAGGGTTCCCAACTGAACCTGGGCAATATCAACCCACATGAGGAAGTCTCTTTTTGTGTGCTTCACTGCTCTTTATAGACATGTATGTAAGAAGTTTGTAAATTCATCAATGCAACCTATATTTCCAGGTAATGGAAAAGTCACCCTTTATGGAAATAGATGAAATTCCTTTCAAATTATTATTAGTTGGAGGTTGGACTTTACAATAAACGCTATCTGGAGGAAACTGTCATAAAGCAGTTGTTTTTCCAGGACCTTCTAGAAGATGTGGCATTCAGTGTATCATTAAAACAATGAATTTCAATAATTTGTATTGTGTGCCATTTTGAGTTCTTGTTTCAATTTTAAAATAAAATGCATTGTGCCATAACCCTATGCACACTTTTATGGCAGTAATTCTCACTGAAGTCAATATTTCTGAGTAAGCATGCTCAAAAGACAGGACTGCTGCTGGAGGGTTTTCACTATTGGAAGTTAAAAAGTTGCTTACTAGGAATCTTAAATTCTTTTTGTGTCTATGATAGCACCCAAATGAATCAATGAAGTAGCTGGACCAAGGTGTCTCTTCATAATTCACCATGAGTTAATAACTCTCTGATGTTTGTAATGTAATTAACTTATGCTTTTGGGGTACTTGCCTACTCTCTGCTTTTAATAAAATGTCATCTAGATAAGGGAAAATGTATTCCATTAGGCCTTGGATGCACTGTTCTGGGTACTAATATCTTTGTGAAATCCATATGAGCTGAAGCAAAGCCAACAGGAGGGATCTAGACTGATAGTGAACAGTTCCAGCACATTGATTTTTTGGCAATTCTAGGATATTGTCAATCATTTTGTTTATTGATTTTATTACATCTTTCAACTGGAAAATTACATATACAGTTAACAAAACATAATTTAAAATAAATTAAAATACTGGAGTGTTAAAGTTATTACAATGTAGGGTTGTTGTAGGTTTTTTCGGGCTATATGGCCATTTTCTAAAGGCATTTTCTCCTGACATTTTGCCTGCATCTATGGCAAGCATCCTCAGAGGTAGTGAGAATGTACATCATTAAAATAACTAGAGCCCCCGGTGGCACAGTGGGTTAAACCCCTGTGCCGACAGGACTGAAGACCAACAGGTCACAGGTTTGAATCCGGGGAGAGGTGGATGAGCTCCCTCTATCAGCTCCAGCTCCTCATGCGGGGACATGAGAGAAACCTCCCACAAGGATGACAAAACATCTAATCATCCAGGTGTCCCCTAGGCAATGTCCTTGCAGACAGCCAATTCTCTCACACCAGAAGTGACCTGCAGTTTCTCAGGTTGCTCCTGACACGACAAAAACAATATTAAAATAACTGTCTGAACATTTGGAGAGATGTTCTACCAATGGAGCTTCTCCTACTACAGATTTGTTGCCAGTTGTATTTTCCTCCATTTTCATCTTCTGGAGAGAGTAAGAATATTATTATGCAAGTTATTAAATGAGAAAGGAGAATTTTCAGCTGAACTGTGGCAGCAGAATCTGAATGTTTTTTGTTTGCCTAGCGTTTGTAGACTGTTCTAATTCAGTTTAGAGGTGTAATGTTTCTCATTAGTTTGATTTGAATCATAAATGTCAAGTAAGGAATCTTAATCCACTTTCAGGATTCCTGAGTTATTCTACCCAAGATCACATCTTTGGCAGCAACAAATGCTGTGTGGTAGCTTCTTTGTCTATTGAAAACTTCTTAACTTATCGTGTTTTAATATGTTGTTAGCTACCTTGAGTCCCACTATCAGTAGAAAGGCAAGATATAAATGATGATGATAATGCATTAGGGAATGGGATTCAGATCAGTTGCAGAAATTGTTACCATAGTTGCATCAAAGAAAATAAGCCCCTGAATTCATGATTAATCCATTCCACTTCATTGAAAGCTGAGCTTATTGGGCCAGCATCAAAAGAGAATTTCTCAAATATATGGAATAACATCTCTTGCTATCATTCATTCAAAACCTAATATTATAGTAGACATTCAGTGCTTGCTTTTAACCATTTCTCCCTCTGAGAAACATCTTCCAGAGTCAGGTAAATCCCCCATCAGTTATGGAAATTCATCAGGTGATCTTGGGCAAGTCATACTTTCTTAGACTTACTTAGAGGAAAGCAAACCTCCTCTGAACAAATCTTGCTAAAAATAAAAACACCATCATAAGGCTTTCATGTGTTGGGAGCAAGTGAAGGCACATAACAGCAACAGAATACCAACACCAGAAAATACATTCAGAAATTGAATAGCAACATTTTAGAATAAAGGGATTACAGGGCATTTTAACTGAGTTACCTTCTCTGTCTTGCAACTAGGGTCTCACTGGTCGCCCCGGTGATGCTGGTCCTCAAGGCAAGCTTGGTCCATCTGTAAGTATATTTTTTATTATTTATCTCTTGGGCCATCCAAAATAGTAGGGGCAATGATCTTAGAGAAAGGGGTGGTAAAGGAGGGAACAGTGGAAGGTTTGAGCAGATGGTTTGTATCCCTGAATGCAGACTTGGTAAAGGATTGTAACAAAGAAGTACGTGATAACTCATGAAGGAGTAGAAATGCTAGATTTGGTTTTGAGGGTGATGAACACAGGATTTGTAATAGCAGTGGAAAAGAAGAATAGTGATGGATATAGAACCTGGGATATTTTAGTGGATGGGGGCACTTTAAATGTGTATTTATATTAAGAGCATTACTGACTGTAAAGTGGATATTACTGTACTAAAGCTGAAACGTAATATGCCCCAAACTTGTAGGAGCAAGTATGTTCTTAAAGAGCTCTTAACAATGCAAGAAAGCCCCTTGACCAGTCCAAACTTGCATTTGCATTAGATTGGGTGTCTTGGATACATTCTTTGACCTCCTGACATTTTTGGTAAAATGTTGTTTTGGATCTCTCCTTAGGGTGCTCCTGGTGAAGACGGACGACCTGGTCCCCCTGGTCCACAAGGTGCCCGTGGTCAGCCTGGTGTCATGGGCTTCCCAGGACCCAAAGGTGCTAATGTAAGTAAACCAACATTTAGCAGTGCTATCAGACAGGCAGTGGTAATTGGAAATGGGCTACCTGTGGAATTGGTACCCTTTGTACTTGGATGAGCAGCCATTCCCCTGGTCATTTTCTAGTCTGAATTCAGCCCATTTTCCCTATTGTTTGTTAGTTGCTTTGCTAAAATGTCCTGCTGCTGGAAGAACATTACATCTTGGTCCTATTAGGATGGGAGAAGCAGAGTCTAAGTGGTTGACAGTCCTCAGGTGATAAGTCCCATTTTTCCCAAAGGCTCATGAGTTTCTTTCTATCTAGGGTGAAGCTGGCAAAGCTGGTGAAAAAGGACTTCCTGGTGCTCCTGGACTAAGAGTGAGTGATTCCTTTCATCTTCATTCTTAAGATATGGGGCAACAAGGGCAGGGGGAAAAACAGTTGTGCCATCCTTTTTGATTCATAGTACTAAGAACTGTCCATCTGGAAACATCCTGGCATGTGTCAGGGATGTGAATCTTTCCTTATTTTGCTTTTTTTTTCAGGTGAAACATGTTTTTCTCTATATGGTTTTATTTTGTGACTAAAAGATACCCTTTCTTATCAAGGATGAAAATGTTATTAATGTATCAGCACAAATATTTGTCCTCCTTTTCCCCTTTTGAAAATTCCACATGTTCCCCCATCATTTAAGATCTACACATGCTATTTTGAAGTACTACATGCACGTTCCCCTGCGTCTTCAGGGAGTACATACAAGTAGTTGCATCCCTCAAAAGGGAGAAACGCCCCCCTCCCCAGTACGAGAAGTGCTCAAGAATTTCCATTCTGTTAGGAACCTTATGGCCTACTCAAATATGAATTTTGTGCACTTTCTAAGGACATCATGGAATGAGCCTTCGAGATGTTTGTTACAAACAATGGACCACTCCTTTCACTGTTGTGATAAGTTTTTCATTAAGTGTAAGAACAATAATGTTTTCTATATTAAATTTGGTCCAAGCCTTTAAGCCCTTGTGCCGGCTGAATTCCTGACCTGGAAGTCGGCAGTAACAATCAGCGAGACAGGGTGAGCTCCAGTCTGTCAGCTCCAGCTTCCCATGCAGGGACATTAGAGAAACCTCCCACAGGATGGTAAAATATCTGGACAACCCCTGGGCAACATCTTGCAGATGGCCAATTCTCTTGCACCAGAAGCGACTTGCACTTTCTCAAGCCACTTCAGACACGATTGGAAAAAAAAAAAGTAGTAAAGAGAGAAATTGAAGTGAAATTTTTCTAAAGCTTCCCTATTCTGTGGGGACATTTGGAGGCCATTAGAGATGACATTAGAGATGACATTAGAAATCAAGTTATTTCGACCCAGCATCATCATTCCTTTTTCTTATTAGGGTCTTCCTGGCAAAGATGGTGAGACAGGAGCAGGTGGACCTCCAGGACCTGCTGTGAGTATTTCTTTCTCTTTTGAAATTATTTTTACTATCCATAACATGCAGTCTGAGAGCTATAGAAACACTGGAGTCAGGTGGCTCACCTCTAGTCCTGATTTTTTCTAGGTATAGACCAGTCGTGCACCATGAGAAAAGAGTGGCTTGTTTTAGGATCTTAGGTAAAGGTTTTCCCCTGACATTAAGTCCAGTCGTGTCCGACTCTAGGGAGTGGTGCTCATCTCCATTTCTAAGCCGAATAGCCAGCGCTGTCCATAGATGCCTCCAAGGTCATGTGGCCCGCATGACTGCATGGAGCACTGTTATATATATATATATTAAATTAGTTAATTTAATTGCATTTTAATGTTGCAGTTTGCATTATAGGGATAATTTGAGTCTATAAACAAACTGGTGTGTATGTTTTCACATTTGAAAGTCTCTATGCAGCGTACTGCTTTTTCCTGTTCTGAAGCGGTATCTCTGACTCCTTTTTTCAAGTAATTATGTTTAGGATGAAGTTATTTTTCCTTCTAATCATTTCTTCACTTTATTTATTGACATTGTAGAGCTTACACATTAGTTTAATCCTACATAAGCCATTGTGATTTCTCATGTGCCATGTGGCAAATATTGCCTTTTCTAAAAGCTTAAAACTAATAAACCAGCACTTATGTGCCTTTGGCAGAGATTTGCAGCAAGGTTTTATTATCTGTTTGGTATTTCCAAACACTTCCCCGCCCCCTTGTTTGCACATTATTTTCTTTAAAAATGTCTATCTAATTTTTCCGTCCCCCAAAAAGTGCAGCTACAGCTATCCCTCCACATTCACAGGGGTTAGGAGCACTGGATCTACACAAAAATGAGAGGAAATTAATTAGACAGACTTTTAAAGAAGGAGGTTTTAAAGATCAAGTCAGGGGGGGGGGGTGGTTTTAGCTATGAATAGGTTTTTAATCAGTTTTAAGGGCTTAACTGTTTACTTTTAATACTGTTAATATTTAATTCTATTTTAGTGTTTGCATTATTTTAGGTTTTTAATTACATTGCATTGGTTTTACTGTAAGCTGCTTTGAGTCTTTTTTTTCAGAGAGAAAAGGGGGTACAATAATGACAATAATAATAACAATATTTTAAAAATAGAAATACAAAAATGCTAGTGTTCTACTTGCATAGTAAATCTCTAGAGCAACTTCCAATGGAAATGAACTATAAAATTTCATTGGAGGACCTATTCTTTCTAGGAATCTCTAGCTCCTCCAGTGCAACTCTGTAGTCAATGTCTGATGCAAGTTAACCATAGAGTTCCTAGAAAAATATATTAAACAAATCTGTGAATAATCAAATCCAAAAAAGTGGACCTCGCAAATCTGAGGGACTGATTATAATGACATTAAGTGTACACAGAGTGTTGCTACTCTGTGATACTACCTCTTTACTGGATTCAACATCGCAAAGTGCAAACATATTGAATCGGATTGCCTATTGTTCTTAAGACAGAAAAGTAAGAGGGGTCTCTATTCAATAGCTTGATTACCACAACTTACGCAATGGGAAATATAGATTTAAGAAATCCTGGGTGTATGTCTAGATCATGTTAGACACATGCTTAAGATGGGATGTTGCGGAGAGCAGCAATATTTCCTTGAATACCACCTCCCTCAAATTAGTCTTGGACTGAATCCCTTTTCCTTCTTCTCAGGGCCCAGCTGGTGAGAGAGGTGAACAAGGTGCTCCAGGACCTTCTGGATTCCAGGTAAACAGAAAAACTCCGCTGCTCTGTTTTAGAGAGCAATGCTACATCATAAATCTTCCTTGATTATTCATTTCCAACTTTAGCAATCAAATCTTCCTACAACTCAGAAGTATAACTATATACAGTACAATACAGCTTCAAGCCTTAAAATGAGGACAGGTCCTGGGATGAATAGCTAGAGATCAAGGTCCAAGGGTTTATCACACGAGACCAGCAAATCTCAATTACAGCAGGACAACCAGCTGGGACCTGTCACGTGACGTCTCTTGCTGTTCTCCCTGATGGAGACAGCCTGGAATGTGTTTTTTCTACACATACAGATTATGACCTCCTCTTGTCAAAGTAATGCCTTCCAATGCCCCTCCACCAACAATAAAGGAGGGCAGCCATTTGTGATAATTCCTGGTGTTATTCTGCTGTGTCTGTGGTTTGCCTGCTTGTGTGTTAAATCTTGTAATTAACTCTGATCACCTGCCAAGAACATTTGCATTTCCTCTGGGAGAGCCTCACCTTGTGTCAACCTTTTGTCACAAAATATACTAATGTCTATGGAGAGATGTAGGAAAGTGCAGTTTTCTCTCAGGCTGATAAAACAGAACAACTTTTTTTTTCTTGCCCTGCTGGGAGAAATGCACTGAACTGCAGCAGCTCATTGGATGTGAATCGGCAATGGAGCTCATCTTCCAGCTCAAAAACAAAAATTGGAAAGCAATTTCTTCTTGGGGAGGGAAAGAAAAGGTGTTTGTTTACTTTCCCGAAAGCACCATAACTGGTTCCCTTATTCAGATTTTCCAGAGGTGGCCCTGTTGACACAAGTACTGCACATGTTTCTCCCGAATTTCTGCTCTGCGCTGTCCATACACCGATCAGCTGCAGCTTATTTTATCACCAATTTCTAACTTTCTCCTGACATTTTTAAACACGTGTTTTCCATGTGGATGCATGTTGCAGCATGCATTAGGTGTGTGTATTTTCTATCCCTCCACCCCTTTATAATTCACATAATTCTGGATTTTACATCATGTGTAAATGGGGCCTAAGAATTTGTAGTGAATGACCTCATCTTCTGAGCAGTAAGCGTCTTCCAACTTATACCCAGAAAGGTGATGCTAAACTTTCTTTGTATCTAATTATGTTAGTGAGTTCCCATTTTACTTTTGAGTTTCCTTCTCTAATCTGGACACCGTTGACTGGCGCAATGCCACTTCCTTAGAGAAATAAATGGAATTGTGCTAACACTGGAATTTTTCTTGCTTTTAGGGTCTTCCAGGTCCCCCAGGTCCTCCAGGTGAAAATGGAAAAGCAGGTGACCAAGTGAGTAAGATTTTGGACATTCAGTTGCATTTTATACTTAGATACATCTCATTGTGAATTGCCACGTTCCCCTTTGCCATGTTGTGCAGGGCATAACTGATAGATTTTAAAGTAAAGCTACCCCGGGGAAACTATTGATTGTCTATGGAAGGATGGATTATCCATGATTCAAAATCAGCTAAGCAAATCTATACAGCAAAGGAACATCCTTGTGATGTTATAGTGATAGAATTCAACAAATAATGGTAGCTGAGAATAACTAAATCCATTAAATGTAGGTGTTAACACCTACTGTTAGGCCGTAGCCGCAGTGTACATGCAACAAACCATCCTTTGACTGTTAAATTGGTATAAATTTATGGTGCGTATCTGCCCAAAAAGATTTGCTGTAAATCAAAAAAGTATTTATTGAATAATTAGCAGAGCGTTGGTGTGTTTTGTCCATCAGCATGCAGCACTAGCAATTAAGAAATATGCATGTTAGTGTGTATATGAATTTCTTGGTCTTGAATATGGAAGTAAAGAATGGGCAGAGAGATTGGCTAATGATTAATGTTCTTAGCTAAGACTGATGTGACTTGTAACCAATCAACAAGGCTTCTCTGTATGACAAACAAATCAGCGAAAGGTGTTTCAACCAAACAGAGTGGCCAAGAAATCCTTCTGTTTGGCAATGGTCAATATGTATGCAGTAGAAGAAGCAAACATTATTTTGAAGCAAATATCTCTCTTTTTCCATTGGCATGCGTACACTCATTTAATTGTTCATAATATTCACTGGATGTCTATAGGTAGTAGGTCAATTAGCCAGATGTTTTTCACCACCAACAGTGAGGAACCTTGCTATGGATTTTAGTTGTTTTTATTGCATTTTGTGTGTGTTTAATCTGTATTTTCGGGCTTGTCCCTTGTAAAGCGCCCCGAGTCCCCCTGGGGAGATGGTGGCGGGGTATAAAAATTAAGTTATTATTATTATTATTATTATTATTATTATTATTATTGTAGTAGTAGTTGTAGTAGTAGTAGTAGAGACCAGGCTGGTCTGAATAGCATTTTACCTTAGTTTTGACATGTTTCTGTATTGAAAATGTCATTGGAAACATTAACTTGGAAATATAAGTGACAAAACTCTGTGAGTTGTTCAGTTCAAGGAAGAAACCTTAATGTTAAGTACATCGTTTGCCTTGATGTAAGGATTTTCCTTCTCTGTTGTCTTCTCACAGTCGATAGGGACTCAAATCATAGCATCCTGCAGTTAAAAGAGACCTCATGGGCTTTCCAGTCCCACCCCTTAACATGCAGGAACACACATTCAAAGCCTCTCATAGAGTTGGAAGAGATCACAAGGGTGAAGACCACATGGATTCTTCAGAGTACAGATTAGCTAACCATTTCTCCCTATTTTTTTCTTTCTCCCTCTTTTCTTCAGGGTGTTCCTGGTGAGGCTGGTGCTCCAGGTCTTGTTGGTCCCAGAGTAAGTAGCTTCCCATAGTTGCTATGTCAATAATGGTGTGTAATTATAACTCATCTTGGTCTTTTATTCATCCTGAACTGTCTTCCCAGCACTACTAAAATCCCTTTGCCCCTTAGGGTGAACGTGGCTTCCCAGGTGAACGTGGGTCTGCAGGTGCCCAAGGTTTGCAAGGTCCGCGTGGGCTTCCTGGCACTCCTGGAACTGATGGACCCAAGGTAGGTTATATTTTTGCATTCTTTCTGTCTATCTATCTATCTATCTATCTATCTATCTATCTTATCTTATCTTTATTAAATATTTAAAAATTCCAAAACATTTTAAACATAATACAATTGTCTTATCACATCTTCTATTCCCAGATCTACACCCCAACCCTCCCGTTACTTACACAGTATTACAAAATACATCACTTTCCATTCTATTACTTCTACATTATTCTGATTTCACCTGCTACATATAACTGATTAATTAATTAATTACTTCTACCCTGCCTTTATTGACCCGGGAGGGGATTCAAGGCAACTTACAAATCCGGTAAAAATTTAATGCCGCACAGATAAACAATAAAACACATCTCATCAAAATATAAAACAATCTAAACATATAAGCAATTAAAATACATATCAAACAGATCAAAGCCATCTAAAATGCTGAGTCATGATCTCATAATCCACATTAATCTCATTAATGTAATGTATTCATAAATTTCTCAGCCATAGTCTTTCTTGGGCACTTGCTGTTTTAAATTCGCCATTGCTTTTACATGTGATGCAAATAAAGAGTTTCCCAGTTTAATCAAATAGATATTCTTTCAATTCTCAATTTGCTGATCTTAATTATAGGTTAAACATTCTGATAGAGTTATCACCCATATCCTGTTTAGCCTATTATTTCTTGTTACATTCGCTAACTGTAGTGTGATCCTCACCCAACTAGCAGTAGTTTGATGGGCCTGGTTATTTTTCCTTCCCAGGGTGCAACTGGTCCTCCTGGTGCCCTCGGAGCACAAGGGCCTCCCGGTCTGCAGGGAATGCCTGGTGAGAGAGGAGCTGCAGGTATCGGTGGACCAAAAGGAGACAGGGTAAGTGGGATTTTGCAGGGCTGTTTGCTTTGGGGCTGGGCATTACATGCAGTAGCCAAGAGCAACTCAAAAGCGCTTCATTTGGCTTTTTATCTTTTTACTCCTGCCTCCTTTCAGGGGTACTTATTGACAATCTCTCTTTGATGTCCTCCAACAGGGTGATGTTGGTGAGAAGGGTCCAGAAGGTGCACCTGGCAAAGATGGAAGCAGAGTAAGTTAGCAATATTTACTCAACATTTCCCCTTTTGGGGCAGCAGTAGACTGAACACTGGAAAAAAGGGTGATAGTGGAAACGGGCCTCATTTGCTATCTGTTTATCCAATTTATCTACCGATTTTGTTCACTGTCCTCCTTAATAAGAGGAGACACTGATGAGAATCCGGATCAAGAGTAGGGTACCTTTGGTTTTCTTCCTGATGTTTAGGATTCTGGTTCCCGCAAGCATTGATCTATTGACCATTTTGGATGTTGGAGTACCAAACATCTGGGGAGTCAAAGGACCCCATTCTCTCTTCCCCTCTGTCTACCCCCATCACTTTAAGGCCCCGTCTGCATTGCTATATAAAATCCAGATTATTGTCTTTGAACTGGATTATATGGCAGTGTAGACTCATATAATCCAGTTAAAAGCAGATAATGTGGATTATCTGATTTGGTAATCTGGGTTATATGTCAGTGTAGATCCAGCCAAAGAGAATGGTAGTTAAGGCAAAAAAGGTCTGGCAAGGATTTGTACGTTGATAAAGAGTTTGGAGAACTTGCTGACTGGAAGGCTGGCAGTTTGAATCTGCGAGATGGGGTGAGTTCCCATTGTTAGCCCCAGCTTCTGTCAACCTAGTAGTTTGAAAACATGCAAATGTAAGTAGATCAATAGGTACTGCTTCAGCAGAAAGATAATGACACTCCATGCAGCCATGCCTAGGTGGCGTCTACAGACAATGCTGGCTCTTCGGCATAGAAATGAAGATAAGCACACCCCCCCCCCCCCCCCGAGTTGGACTTGACTATACTTAATATCAAGGGCAAACCTTTTACTAAAGAGTCTGAGCTAAAACTGCTAAATGACATAATGTTCCAAAAAATGCCTTTCTACCATTACACGGAAAAAGGCTTCACAATTTGTTCCAGCTATATCACGTGATATAGCACGTCCCATCTACACTGCCATATAAAATTCAGGTTATCTGCTTTGAACTGAAGTATATGACAGTGTAGACTCACATAATCCAGTTCAAATCTAGATATAATCTAGATTATATCACAGTTTAGATCCAACCAAGGAGGCTTCCTGTTTCATCTCAGATGAATAATAATAATGATATTTTTATAAGCATCAGGGGCTGAATTCCTCTGAAGGCACCGTCATATTCTTACTCTTGTGTACTATAAGAGGAGCTGAACTATATGCTTTGCAAAATGAACCCATTATGTGGGATGCAACCACTTCTTTGTGCCTGTTGAGTCACAGGCATTTCTCTCTGCAAATATATGTAGAGTGACAACATTGCAAGAGAGGGCACATGGGTGGATTACAGTTCCCCAAGGCAGCCTTGGTGACAACAGATAGACATGGCAAAGTTTCAGAAGTATCCCCATTGCTCAGAAAGTGTTGCCCCATTTCTGAGCCCTAGTGATGGAAGACGGAAGATTTCATCAAGGAATATTAACTGGAGTGTTATTTAGTTAATGTAAAGAAAGAAAATATTGACAAGTAAGACAAGTTTTGGAAAGAAGATTGTCTTTCATCACATTACTTGTTTTCCTTTTTTTCCAGGGTTTGACTGGTCCCATTGGTCCTCCTGGCCCATCTGGTGGAAATGGAGAGAAGGTAAGAGTGCCTGATGTTCAGCACTTACTAGTTTACAATATCCAGTAGGCAATGGCCTTTAAGTGAAATAAGGGTCCTGTGAATATTTTATTCCAGTAGCCGTTCACTAGCATCTTATTGGTGACATAAACAAGTATGAGTTCGACGTTATTTCGTTTCATGTCTCTTGGTTATTAGGAAGTTGATATTGTGTTCCACAGTTCATAATAACTCAAGCCTCTCAGGACTCACAATTATGGCATGATAGACCCTGTAAATCACCTTTCTATGGCTGACAGAGCATGGGATATTATAGGAAGATCTGAATATAGTGTCTATGAATGATTTACCAGGATCCATGTGAAGTTTGGTACAAAATGCCATCAGGCTCTGCCTGGCACAGATAGATGCTTACCCAGCCCAACCATCTGCTCTCCGTCATCCACAGAATATGGGTTGCTGTGAGTTTCCAGGCTGTACAGTCATGTTTTCAGAATGTTTCTGGAACATGGCCATACAGCCCAGAAAACTCTCAGCAACCCAGTGATTCCGGCCATAAAAGCCTTTGACAGCACATCCACAGAATAGTTACTCAGGAGAGCTATGAGTCTTGGGGTGCCTGTGAAACTCTTACACTACATTACACAAACTAGTGTGTTGGACACTAAAATCCTATTGCAATATGGACTTATCTATTTACTGATTTCACAGTGACTTCCTTTCCCTAGCGAGACTTGAGAATTGTAATATTGTAATTGGGGGTGGGGATGGAGTGGCTTTGAAGCAGATTTTTTACCCCCATCATCAAACTACATTGAGCAGAACCTTTTAGCACCATTCTCTAGATAAAAGCCATGGCTTTTAAAACTGGAATAAAGCCCATATACATTTATAGTGCGTAGGTATGCCTAATGCCATAGGTGTGCACTAGTGAAAGATAGCTAGGAGGATTTTGCAGGCAGTGGGTGGAGACAGTGCAGTTTTAGAACTGTAAGGGATGGGTATAGAACAGTGGTCCTCAACCTGTGGGTCCCCAGGTGTTTTGGCCTACAACTCCCAGAAATCCCAGCCAGTTTACCAGCTGTTAGGATTTCTGGGAGTTGAAGGCCAAAAACATTTGGGGACCCCAGGTAGAGAACTACTGGTATAGAAGAATTGTGCTGTATTAGATAGATTCAAAGAAATGGTGGAAAGATAATGGAGAAGCAGTAATCTCATGACCTTAGACTTGCACTGAGGGCCCTGATATATTAATTTATATTAATTTACTGAATTTCTTCAACTTACTGAATTTTTGTATATCTAGTACCTTCTTCTTTGGCACAGAAAGGAGCTAATAATACTAAGAATTCTCATTAGAACATCTGAAGATGAGAATTGTCGAGCAGGATTAACTCAGTAGCCTTGTATTCCAGGTTTTGTGTGACCCTGCTGCTTACATCTATATATTTTATATCCTTATATCACCATAGAATCCCCATGTAGAATACAGATTTTCTTCTGATGTCATAGCCCAGAGTTTCAAATTTTTCTTGGATCTCAGAATATTTGAGAGAGCAGAAACTGTGGTGGTGGAGGTGGTGGTAGTTTACTTATGTGATTCACATGTTTTACGTGCTTTGTGGAGGAAGATAATGACAATTATCCAATCTCATTTTCCTTGTAATGTTAATGTGGCTCAGAAACCATAATTCAGCCTGCACACAATCCTCTCTATTCTCCTGAAGGGCCTCCTCTAGCAGTAGCAAAGAATATCCTTAGTAAAGACAAGTCACTGCTCCATTGATTTAGCTCTGAATTATGATGTCATAACTTACCTGCTTTACATTTTCTATTTTCTATCATTTCAGGGTGAAGCTGGTCCTCCTGGCCCATCTGGTGCAGCTGGTGCTCGTGGGGCCCCTGTAAGTTTGATAAATATGAATTATTCAGAAAAAAGGATATGGCCAGTAGAATTATTCAGAAAAAAGGATATGGCCAGTATGCCAGGGACTCATGACAGTCCTGGAATAACATGAAAGGAAAACATGTATTTGACTTCCTTCCACACCCAGAGGAAGTGTGTGCTGACCTAGTTTAATGGAGGGAGAACTTTATGAGGAAAGTACTTTGTTGTTATTAACTGCTGTCAGATCAATTTGACTTATAGTGATCCCATGAATGAGAGATGTCTAGATCAGTAGTTCTCAACCTGTGTGTCCCCAAGTGTTTGGCCTTCAACTCCCAGAAATCCTAACAACTGGTAAATTGGCTGGGATTTCTCAGAGATGTAGGCCAAAACACCTGGGGACCCACATATTGAGAACCACTAATCTAGAACATAGTATCCCTCTTTTCCTTCCACCTTTCTAGTCATCTTGGCTTCCAAGAAGGGTTGAGCCTTAATTTGCTCTAGGAACCATTCATTTGTCTTTTTAGTGTACAAGGTATTCATATAATTATTCTCCAGCACCATATTTCAAATGAGTTAATTAGCATGTGGCAAAAGCCAGAAGAGCTACATGGCTTCTCTGGATTAGTGCCCTTTCATAGTTATTGGAGCCCCTGGTGGCATAATGGGTTGTGCTGGCTGGACTGCTGACCAAAAAGTCAGCTGTTTGAATCCGGAGAGCAGGGTGAGCTCCCGTCTATCAGCCCCAGCGTCCCGTGCGGGGACATGAGAGAAGCCTCTAACAGGATGGTAAAACATCCAGGTGTCCCCTGGACAAAGTCCTTGCAGATGGGCAATTCTCTCACACCAGAAGTGACTTGTAGTTTCTCAAAAGTCGCTCCTGGCATGAAAAAAATAGTTATTGATCTGTGACCCTCCATAGTTTTAACTGGCAGTTCACAGTACTGAAAGACTGGGCTTTCTATGCTAACTGCAAGAAAAAAGAGCCCCTTTTCATGACCCAACAAAATAAAAATATAGAACTTGGTCTGGAGGGCAGTTAACACTGGCTGACGTCCTGCAAGGCCAAATCAGGAGCCCGTTGTCTTTCTCGCACTTCTACTGTTGAATTTTACTCTGTAGAAAGAATAAATTGTCTCATACACCTTTCTGAAATATAAAAGGGCCACTTCCAGTCTTGGGTATTTTGGGAAACCCATTTATTCTGAGTATACTTGGTCAATGACATTACTATCTTTCAAGAAGTGCAGAAGACTCAGTCTCTTGAGGGAAGGTCTTTATTTTCATGGTCCTTAGTTATTGACTTCACCCTGACTGAGCAGAAAGATGTTTTTCATGCTGCATGATCCTAATTGTATTGCTGATAACTGCCTGTGAGAGGGTCCCAGAGTTTCGTTCCTGGAAAACAAAACTGATGCTGAGACTACAGAAACTAGCAATCCTTGCAGTAGGCCATCCAGAAGATCAGAGTGGTGACATCTCTTTAGTTCCCATGATTTACCACATTATTTGTTTTAGGGTGACCGTGGTGAACCTGGTGCTCCTGGTCCTGCTGGATTTGCTGGTCCCCCTGTGAGTACTGCCTGGTACTTCTAAGGCACTTACTCCCCTTTTCCTTCAATGACATGCTGCCATAGTCCTGGATGCCCATCTCATACTGGAGCCTTCTGTCTTCCTCTACATTGCAGGGTGCTGATGGCCAACCTGGTGCTAAAGGCGAGCAAGGTGAATCTGGACAGAAGGGAGATGCTGGGTCTCCAGGTCCTCAAGGCCCATCCGGGGCTCCTGGCCCACAGGTTAGTATAGTGCATTCCTTGTCCTGGTCTGTCTTTCAGTGACTAGTAAGAGACTAGGTTGGGTCTTTGAGATGCTGCCTTCGGTCTATAGGTGACACAGCCAGGGTATGTAATTTGGGAGGAGCTTCACTTGAGGTGGTTGGAAGCAAAGCAGCAAGTTGGAATCTCAATTTGTACTGAAATGTGGCTTCCTCCATCGTTAATATTCAAGTTAAAGTAGATGAATTTGTGGTAGAGAAATAAAATATCAAAAAGCTTCATGGGTTTAGTTTAGCCAAACTTTGGTTCGTTATCTGAGCCAGGGATTAGATCTCACCTGTGGTACAAAGGTTGCAAGGTGAAGGATAGAAATGAATTCTGCAGTAGTATTGAGTGCTCAACGTGCTCTACAATAACTTTATTTCATTTATTCTCACAAAATGCCCTGTAAGATGGAGACCAATTCCTTTTGATACATCTCGCACACAAACACATAGGATCTATGAGGTCAACATAGCAGCCAACACTAGCTATGGAAGCCAGAAGAATCATTCAATTAGAGGAAGTCCTTTTCTCTTAAATATGTATCCCAGAGCCAACTGACTGAAGTTAGTGAGAAGAATCATTCTGAATTTCCATCTAACCTGGTTTTTGCTTTGTCCCTGCAGGGTCCAAATGGTGTGACTGGTCCAAAAGGAGCTCGTGGTGCCCAGGGACCCCCAGTAAGTAGGGTGTTTTTCCCTCCCCTTCTGAATAACTTGCTTTGGGTATCCCCCTTTCTGTTTTCCTTACATGCACTTCTGATATTAGCAGAAATGAAGTTTCTATCCTTGCTAATAATTATGTGGTTCAGCAGAGTTTTAAAAAGGAGTGTGTATTAGTGAGGCCTTGAACTACTAGCTGTGAGGCTCACACATTTCAGCACCTTGGAGAGTACTTAAGGGTTTCTCCTTTTAGCTCTGTGGCTAATATCTGAAGACTAGTGACAGGAAACCTCAATGTGCTATTTCTACCTTCCCATTAAATAGTATTAAAGCTATTCTATGATGTTTATATATTTGCTTCTATTTTGGTCTCTTGGGGTTATGTCTCTCAAGTTGTCTTTTGTGAAGGACAAATCAGGGGGGTGATTAGATTCACTGCAGTTTCTTATATTTCCTTTTTAGCTTCCCATAGATGCCTTATGGATGTTGCTCTGTCAAACCCTTTCACTTCATTAGTAATTAAGGGAGGAGTGGGTTGTGTTTCTTTGAGAGTGTGTGTGTACAGATTAGGCCTTGTATGGCTGTGTGACTGAGAAAGTAGGTATATTTTTAAGAAGTAATAGGATTTCAAGACCTCTGTCCTTAAAAAAGTTCAATTCTTTGCTGTAAATACTCCAGCAATAGAATATAAGATAAGCTGACAGGCTCAGGTCCTAGTATCTGCATTTAAGGGTTTTTAGATGGGACAATTTGCAAATATCTCACCCCAGTCAGGTCTGTGACGTTGCTACTCAAAGTGCTGATCCATGGATTGGTGCTGATCTGTGGCAAATTCTCATATATGGCTCTTACACCTTTTTAAAAGAAAATACCCTGTCCAGGTCAATTTCATGATTCATTTGTATCTTTAGAGTTTTCTTAACTGCATTACATCTTGATGGCAACCTACACATTAGTTTCAAGAGAAACCACATAAATGAAAGGCATCTTTCTTACATCTCTATAGACACCAGTCAAGTTTTTTTCTAATATTTTAAATGCTCTGAAGTTCCAACAGGAACATTAAAATAGTCTGAAAACCAAAGGAATATTTATGCCAGTTCTCTTCCTACCCACCTTATGGGACCTCAAATGTTTGCTATATAACGGCCTCTTGGGGTTTTTGTTCATCATTCTTTGCTTTTTTCTTTTTCCTAGGGTGCCACTGGATTCCCTGGTGCAGCCGGACGAGTGGGACCACCAGGTCCCAATGTAAGTTCAATGTAAATTAGTTATTGGTTTTAATGGATTATCTTCAGCCTAGAAAGGTTGTTAGGCCATTTATCAGCTTTACCTTATTAGATAACAGTGGGTTAAAGGCTTGAAGCATGTAATTAAGTGTACAAAACAAAGCAAGGAATGAGTGGACTCGCTCTTTGTGGATTCCGATTTTCTCCCCATTTTGGGGGATAAAAAATTGGTAATTGTATTGGGTTCTTGGGAGGAGAGCAATGACAAATCTTGATAAAATAGTGAAGAGTAGAGACATCACACTGGCAACAAAGATCCGCATAGACAAAGCAATGGTATTCCCAGTAGTAACCTATGGATGTGAGAGCTGGACCATTAGGAAGGCTGAGCGAAGGAAGACAGATGCTTTTGAACTATGGTGGGAATGCCTTGCGCTGTGAGAAGATCCAACCAGTCCATACTTCAGGAAACAAAGCCCGACTGCTCATTGGAGGGAAGGATAGTAGAGGACAAGATGAAGTACTTTGGCCACATCATGAGAAGAAAGGAAAGCTTAGAAAAGACAATTATGCTGGGGAAAATGGAAGGAAAAAGGAAGAGGGGCCGACCAACGGCAAGATGGATGGATGGGATCCTTGAAGTTACTGGATTGACCTTGAAGGAGCTGGAGGTGGTGATGGCTGACAGGGAGTTCTGGCGTGGACTGGTCCATGAAGTTAGGAAGAGTCGGAAATGACTGAATGAATGAACAACAACATTGTATTGGGATTAATCATCTTTACAACAATCAAGGCAATAAGGAGAAGAGACAGAGAACTCCCAAGTGAAGTTTCTTCATCATAGTGCCCCCAAATGGACATGCAAATGAACTTTAACCTCCATCAACTCAAGCTAGCATAAATGTAAATGAAGGCCATTGTAGTCTCTAATATACCCAGAGGGACCAGGACGTGAAAGATTGACCTAAATCCATAGTCACCAGCATTGGATACTTGATACCTTCCAAAGCCAAAGGGATCTAGTGGTGACAGAAGATGAGAAAATGAGGCTGAAATCCTTTACCTGCTTATGTTGAGTGTTATTTACTTAGGTCACAAGAAAAATTCAGATTATATTGATTCATTTGTTTGGCACTATATATCCTGACCATTAGATCTAGAGTTATATTTGAAGATATAAAAGCTGTACCCAGTCTGAAACCAACATAAGTGTTTTAAAACAATGCAGCAAATAGCCAGCCAAGATAGGATCAAAAGGAGCAGCAACAATTAATACAAGACTGGTTTATTCAGAAAAGATGATGAAACAAGGCATGTGAGAAAGCCTGGGAGGCTTTACACGTGATGTGCAAGAATCAGAGCACTTCCTTGAGATCCCCCGACTAATTTCAGAAAGCAGAGGGCATTCAGATAGTTTCTCCTCCCTGATTATGAAGTGTTGTTTGTGGGAAGAGTTGCTCCCTTCCCTGGCTTTTGAAATACCTGAAGATATTTAAGTTCATCAAGGACACTAATCAGCAGAGCTTCTGCTAGGCCTTTTCTCTATTCTCTATATACAAAAGCCAGAGAAAGTATAGAGAGATGTGTTTTTTGGATATAGGCAGGATATAACTTTATATCCCGCCCCAAAAGAGGTGAACAGTGAAAAGTGTTTTAGCCTCATTTTCACCAGAAGTTTTAAAAGTGGTGGATTAAACACATTGCAGATTGGTTTGATCCTTGGCATAATGCAATACCTTTGATGGTCCAGGTAAAATATGGAAGTAGTTAACTCAGTCTGACCTTTCTGGTCCCCTATAGCAGTGGTTCTCAATCCATGGGTCCCCAGATGTTTTGGTCTTCAAATCCTAACAGCTGGTAAACTAGCTGGGATTTCTGGGAGTTGTAGGCCAAAACATCTGGGACTCACAGGTTGAGAACCACTGCCCTATAGCATTGGTTACAGCAAAGAGATTTTGGTGTATGTGTGTCTATCCCAATTGAAAGCCATCCAACTGTAAATCACTGGAATGCTATTTGATGAATAGACAGCTGGGTTTGAGAGGGCTTTCGAACTTGAAAATTTACAAGAGGCATTTAACATCTTTCTCAGCTTTTAATATGGAGTCTAGTGCAGTAAAGGGGCAGGATTTTGCTTTTTCCTTGCCTGGGACCCAGAGGAGCTTTTGACTGCAGCAGTTCTGGATCCCCATCTGGGATGTAGCCTTGGGTGATAAGATGCAAAAAAAGACCAGGGATTTTGCATCTTGTGCATTTATGAGGCCACATTAGCTATAATTCTCTTTTTTTTGACACAGTTGTGCAGGAATTCAGAACACCTTTGCATCTGACCACAATAAGGCTCTTAGTTGAGAACATCCAGACAGACCCTTTTTGCCCAGTTAATGCTCAGTCTCTCCATTGATGACCCAAGACATTGGATTTAATAGTGTTTGCAATCTGTAATTCCTCTTAAAAATAGAAACTTTGGGCAAGAAAAATATACCCAACATTATAGCCTCTGGGAAGTTTTGAACCTTTAGGAAAAATCAAGTGGGTTTAATTTTTAAAGCTCACACAAATTCACATCATAACTGAATTCATCTATCATGCCACATAAACCTACCCAGTTATTTTCTACACAAGATATATGATCATGTTACTGGGTGCGTGGTCCGCTGATTGCATTAACATACTATTTCTGTTTGGAGGATCAGTATTGGGTATCTTTTGTGGTCTTTGTATTTCCCAAGTTATGATGCATTATTTTTGTCTTCGGACCAAAGTGAGCTCATCTCATTCTTTGTCTTCTACCTGTTCCATACCTTTTCCATCCAGGGTAATCCTGGAGCCGCTGGCCCACCAGGTGCTTCTGGGAAAGATGGCCCCAAAGGTGCTCGTGGTGATGCAGGCCCAACTGGTCGTGCTGGTGATCCTGGTTTGCAAGGCCCTGCTGGTGCCCCAGGCGAGAAGGGAGACTCTGGCGAAGATGGCCCTCCTGTGAGTACTCACCTGATCTTTTGTGTCTTGATTTTTGCAAACACAATTGATCTCCCCACTGCAATTTGTGTGTGTGTGTGCGTGTGAATGAACTCTTATCTCTGCCTTTTGTTCCCACGCAGGGTGCTGATGGCCCACCTGGACCTCAAGGTTTGGCTGGTCAAAGAGGCATTGTGGGTCTCCCTGGTCAGCGTGGTGAGAGAGGCTTCCCTGGACTTCCTGGTCCTTCTGTAAGTAATTTATGGCATTAAAAACAGGGAAGTGCTAAAGTCAGGGGAATCTTATTGCCAACTACATAAACTAGTTCCCTTTCAGATTTTTAAGCTTGATAGATAGTGCAATTGAAATATTTATATCCAACCCTTTATTTGAAGATCCCAGGGTGGTACTTTACAATAAAATCGGTTTAAAACAGTACATAATTACGAAGGTTTCACATGTTTAAAATTTATGAAATAGTTTCTCAGTTTAAAAAAGACATTTAAAACTGGGTAAAACGATCTTGCAGCCTAGATAAAATCTCTTTGACCTGAAACCTTCAGCCAAAAGCCATATTTTTAATTTGATGCCTTCATAAATGTTAATAATGCCAATCAGGCTTCCAAGTGCAGGGAATTTTGCAACCAGAGTGCCACCACTAAAATGGCCCTCTCAGAAATTTCTCACTTTGCAGGATGCTTGGCACGTTTGATTTACTTTTCTTCCATTTGTGCTCAAAGCATCAGGAAAGTCTGTGTCCACCATATAAAAATGCAGAGCTAGCTGTGTTCACCATGAACACCATGAGCTTTTGAAGCTCACTAGCTTCTTCGTCAGGCAAAGATGGTAAGGGGAAAAGTCATGTAGAAGAAAAAGAATTATTTTATCAGATTTACTAATCTACAGAGCTGCATCTTGTTTGTGACGTTAAGACGAGAGTGTTCATGAAGGTTGCAAACTCAAATCCTACTGCCCTCCCAAACAAGAAGCAATAGGAACAAAAGCCACAAAATTTGTTTGGTCATTTGGAGGAATGAATAATCTTCCCTTGAGATCCATTCTAGCTCTGTCCAGTATGAAACCTAAAATCCCCTATGTTGTCAAGGGCCAATGATCTTTTCCATATGATCCAGTGTATTCCAACCTGGCCAGTATCCCTAGTGCACTAGGCTACTAAGGTTGTCAAACCTATGTTTGCCACATTCCACATAATGGGACTTGTTTTGAGGCTTGCAGTCTAAATAAGACAAAATGTCCATAGAAGAAGATTGGACGAGGTACGGAAAATCTGGGTTTGATCAGGTAAATGCCATGAAGGAGAGGCACGATTCTTCTCCTTGCTTTTTGAGATTTGCAAACATACCCTCTCCTACACAAAACAAGGGATGCTGTTTTAAAAGGAGGATTAATCTATAAATGGCCAGTGTCTGATCTGTCCTGTTGACAAATTGGAAAAATGAGAAAAATACCCAAGACATACATCTGAAGTGGGCAAAGTCCCTTGCTTGTGTCTATTCAGACCCAAATCATTTGACAGTACATCATCAAAGAGATAGTGGAAATGTCTGATGCAGAAGGGTTTTTATTGCTTTTGTGATGTTTTATATTGTTTAATGTTTTAATCTGTATTATGTTTTTGAATGTACTGATTTGTTGGAAACCTCCTTGAGTCGCTGATTGGCTGAGAAAGGCGGTATACAAATACAGTAAATAAAAATAAATAAATAAATAAATAAATAAATAAATAAGGTACGAAAGAGAGCCAGCATGGTATAGTGATTTTTGAGTATTGACTATGACTCTAGAGATCAGGGTTTGAGCACCCACTCAGCTATGTAAACCCATCAAGTGACCTTGGATAAAGTTGTGAAAGTTAGGAGGCTTCCCTTGGCTGCTGGCTATGGCCGGCAGGTGTGTGGTCAAGTGAGCATTCAACTTCCTGCATTCCTGCCAAGGAGAGCTGCAGTGCGTCCTTGAGCTGCCAGCAGCCAAGGGAGGCCCCATTGGCCTTGTTTGCCTACATGTGCTAGCAAGGCAGTCCTATGGGTCTCCCTTGGCTGCTAGGAGTGGGAGGCCCCTTAGGTTTCCAAATTTTCACCACAAAATAGCTGCACCCCCTTTTTTGAAAAGTAGGGCGGAGTGCTACTATTGTGTGGTAAAATACAGTTTTATGCATGAAAATGTACAAATGAAAAATTACTTTAAAAGTGCATAATTTTGAAAAACTGTCTACAGTAGACTCTCAGTTCACCAGAATTTGAGCAACCAGAATTCTCAATCAACAGTCAAAAATTAACTAAAATTGCATACTGCAGTCACAAAGCTCTATTTATAATACTGCCTTGAGTCACCTGCGGTCTCAGAAGGGTGGTATACAAATACAGTAAACAAACAAGCAAACAAATAAATAATACAGTAAAACTGTATTACATTAAGTTTTGTCTTTGTCAATTGGCTTTTAATGACTATATATCAATATTTATATCAAGACAATACAATGTTTATGGCAAGGTATAGTATAAGGTATAGTATTTTTTTTAGTCTTCTTTTGAATAGTAACTCTCAAGTAACCAAAACTACATTTATATGGCACCTACCATTCTCCAGAGTTAACTGAGAATTTATTGGATAAAAATGTGTACGTTTTGAAAAATAGGTGTATGAATACAAAAATGATTTTTATATGAATGGAGGAAAGTGCTGTCAGATGTGGAATAGAATGGAACGAGATTAACAGTGGGAAGATGTGAAACTGAATGAAAGCGAATTTGACGGCTTTATTTTGTGTCAAAGGTCCCTTTCTTACCTGAGCTGAAATGTTCTTATCCTCCAGGGTGAGCCTGGCAAACAAGGAGCTTCTGGCGGTCCTGGTGACAGAGGTCCCCCTGGCCCTGTTGGTCCCCCTGGTCTGACTGGTCCCTCTGGTGAACCTGGGCGTGAGGTGAGCATCACCAGCCTATTAGATGTGGTCATGGAAAAATAAGTGGAGAGAGGGAAACTGCTATTGAAAGTAATGTCTGCTTTCCATCTGCTGCCTAACTATCTGTATCTGAAGTTCATACACGCACAATATAGTATTTCCAATTCTGATGTCCCAAAATGGAACAAACCTAAATGAATAATAGTACACTTTATTTATATTTAACTCCGAGTGGATTCTAGCATCTACATAGGCAAACATTCAATGCCCTTACAATCATATACAATGAAACACACAAACACAAACAAAGGTAAAAGCTTCTCTGTTCATTTCCGGCTTCTAGAAGTGGTGCTCATCTCTGGCTCTGGAGAGGTGCTTTTCCCCCATTTTTAAGCCGAGGAGGAAAAGCACCATAATCACCATAATCTCCTGCTTATGTGGCTGGCAAGATTGCTTTGCCTTTTTCCCAACAAAGTGGTACCTATTTATCTACTTACATTGCATGTGTTCGAACTGCTAGGTTGGCAGGAACTAGAGTTGACAGTTTACCCCGTCTTGCAGATCAAACAGGCCAGCAGTTCAGCTAACCATCAGGTCAGCTGTTCAACAGCACAAGGGTTTAACCCATTGCACCACTTGTTGTGAAGAGTTTGCCATATTAGCCTATTGCAGTAAAAGGACAATAAGTTGTGTATCGCCTTATAATCTGAAAAGATGTATTGTGGATAAGCAACCCATTTACTCAAGTGCACAGAAGATGTGTGTATGTGTGTATACACATACACACTGCTCATCTGGACCAGCTCTATCAAACCTGTTGTCATGGTTTGAAAAAAAAAATCCTGTAAAATTAGAGAGCAATTTGGGGTACATAAGATGGTATTTGGGGAAGGATAAAGAAGAATGCTAAGGTGTTTCATGAGGGGCAGCTGATGGGGGGACGGGACTCTAAGTTGGGAATGTTTTGAGGTTTGCCCAACCCATTCTCCAAGCTGTTACCATGCTTTTCCCAAAACATCCACTTCTTCTTTGGCTGCAAAGAAATAACCATCTCCCATTCTTCTCATTCTCAGGGCAATCCTGGTGCAGATGGTCCCCCTGGAAGAGATGGTTCTGCTGGAGTGAAGGTAAGTGTCAACTTAAAGGGACATTAGCTGCTGCTGTTGGGAGATACCTAGTTCAGGAACTGTGCCATTCACCTTACCCATTGCCCTCATACCTGGAAAGTCACTTTCCAAACATGGATGTCAGCTCTTCACTGTCTTCTAAAAAGTGACCTCTTCGTAGATATCACACAGCAATCAGGCTGGAATCTCAGTGCAGGGAGGGCTGGATGCCTGTCCCTCTGCATTGCTTCTTCTCCCTGTCCAGCTTCCCAGGTCTTCAAACCAACATTTTGTCATGCATCCCTTCTACAACACTGCCTATTTTTAAAAAAATGAAGCCTGAACTATGTGACAATATTCTTCAAAATAAACTGTTTACTATTTAGCAAGGGTACACTACCATTTACTTACAATGTTTACATTGCTCACAAAATGAACTTTTTAAGGGTCCTAAGAGCTAGGCAGGATGTCAAAGTCTACAAGAGGTTACGTTTCCCTTCACCCTCTGACATTGTGTTGTCCATATATAAGAGTAAATGTTTTTCTTCAACCTCCATATTTGGCTTTTTCTCCTCACACCATGAAACCAAACAAGTAGGCATCAGTGGTTGTGGGAGATGTACAGTCTGTCCTTTACCTTTTCTGGGGTTAGCAGCACAGGATCTTTGTGAAAGAGAGAAAAAAAGAAGATTTATCTAGGAAGTTATAAGTCTTCCAGCTCTACTCTGCACTCAATGTCGACTGGAAGCTGAATACATCATTGAACTGGATGACCTAGAGATTTCCACAGGGATGTTCCCTCTAGAAATCTCTAGGTCCTCCAGCTAGGGGAAGTTGACTATTAAATCACACTAAATGACTTCAAGATTCCTAAAGAAAATATTCTGAATCAAATCCATAAACGTCAAACTGTAGGTGTGGAGAGTTGACGGTATTTGTTTATTGTCCCTCAGTCTTTCCTTTGCATACATGAAGTGTAACCTTCTACTTTGTCCCCTGACAGGGTGATCGTGGTGAGACTGGTCCTGCTGGTGGCCCTGGTGCTCCTGGCCCACCTGGCTCTCCGGGCCCCATTGGTCCAACTGGCAAACAAGGAGACCGAGGCGAATCAGTAAGTGCCCAATAACCCTGTGAAATGGCATTAACTAAAGTGGTCAGTGGTTTAAGTGAAGAAAACACACTCGTTCTAACCTATAACATCTCACCTTTCCCTTCATCTGTTTGCAAGTATTAATCAAATATTTTGATATTTGCTGTGCCTGATAATTTCATGTGCTTATTTCTATTTCTGCAGTCCCTTTTAATGATATCACAAAGAAAGGAAGTTCTTGCTTCTAGAAAACTGTTCTAATTCTTCAGTCTCCCTGCAGTATTTCTTTGGACACTTGGTTTGTGCATCAACAGCCACATCCCAGTTTTCCTGGATCCATGCATATTAGGCCTGGTTGATCAAGAAAAAATTTGGTTCTAAAATCGATTTGTAATTGGGGTGTTTTTTTGTTTCGATATTTAAAATAATTACAAAATTTCCCCCCTACAATCCGTTAATATTTACAAAAATTTCGTAAATATTAACGAATTGATTCGTTAAGATGGCGGACCCCCGCGCATGCGCAAAATCACTTCCGAAGCTTCTTTATTGGTGCGGGGTCGATTCGTTAAGGATATAACGAATCGATTCGTTAAAACGGCGGACGCGATTGCGCATGTGCGAAAGCGACTTCCGAAACGTTTTTAAATATGAATCTATTCGCTATTAAATTAATAACGAATCAATTCGTTAAAATGGCGGACGCGATTGCGCAATGCTATAAACAAAATCATTTCATAAAATAAATCAAATAAAATAATCAAATAGAACAAGATATTAAGATATTAAATAAAAAAGTAATAAGATAAAGTATCCA